TGTAGAAAATTTTCGATGAATTTTCTTTTTGTAGAAAATTTTCGTTAAATTTTCTTTTTGTAGAAAATGATCGTTAAATTTTACTTTTTGTTGAAAATTTTTGTTAAATCTTTTTTTTTAGAAAATTTTCGTTAAATTTTTCTTTTTAAAGAAAATTTTCGTAGTATTTTCTTTTTATAGAAAATTTTCATAGAATTGCCTTTTTATAGAAATTTTTCGTTGAATTTTTTTATAGAAAATTTTCGATAAATTTTCTTTTTATAAAAAATTTTCGTTAAATATTCTTTTTATAGAAAATTTTCGATAAATTATCTTTTTATAGGAAAATTTTCTTGAAATTTTCTTTTTATAGAAAATTTTCGATAAATTTTCTTTTTATAAAAAATTTTTGTTAAATTTTCTTTTTATAGAAAATTTTCGATAAATTTTCTTTTTTTAGGAAAATTTTCGTTAAAGTTTCTTTTTATAGAAAATTTTCGATAAATTTTCTTTTTATAGAAAATTTTCGATAAATTTTCTTTTTATTGAACATTTTCGATAAATTTTCTTTTTATAGAACATTTTCGATAAATTTTCTTTTTATAGAACATTTTCGATAAATTTTCTTTTTATAGAAAATTTTTGACAAATTTTCTTTTTATAGGAAATTTTTAATAAAATTTCTTTTTATATAGAACATTTTCTTTTTATATAGAAAATTTTCATTAAATGTTCTTTTTATAATTGAAGATTTTCGATAAATTTTCTTTTTATATATAAGATTTTCGATAAATTTTCTTTTTATATAGAAAATTTTATATAAATTTTCTTTTTATATAGAAAGTTTTCGATTAATTTTCTTTTTATATTGAATATTTTTGATAAATTTTCTTTTTATATAGAAAATTTTCTTTTTATATATAAAATTTTTAATAAATTTTCTTTTTATATAGAAAATTTTCGGTAAATTTTCCTTTTTTCCATAAATTTTCTTTTTATATGGAATATTTTCGAAATTTTTTTTTCTATTTTCAATATATTTTCTTTTTGTATAACATTTTCGATACATTTTCTTTTCGTATAACATTTTCGATACATTTTCTTTTTAATATAAAATTTTCGCAAAATTTCCTTTTTATAGAAAATTTTTAGATACGTTTTCTTTTTATAGAACATTTTTAGATACATGTTCCTTTTATAGTAAATTTTCGATAAATTTTCTTTTTATAGAAAATTTTAGATAAGTTTTAATTTTATGGAAAATTTCGATAAGTTTTAATTATATAAAAAATTTCGGTAAATATTCTTTTGATGAAAAATTTTCATCACATTTTTACTAATTTTTTTTCACAAGAACCTTGTAAATATTAAGAGATAGATCGATTTCTTCCTATGAATATGTACATAACTTTTAAATCTAATTTAGCGGAATTAAAACTTTTGTTGACCACCCGTGTTTTAAATACAAATTTGCGTTCATTGTTATTCATTTGCCATACGCCAAAATAAGTACATGACCATACAAGAATTTAAACTACGTGAACTAAACGCTAGAAGAACACAGAACAGGAATGGAAAATCGTACAAAAACTTGTCAAATTTATATAAATTGGAAATTTGGTTTTCAATATAGAAGAACTTTTAAAAGTTTTTTTATTATTTTATTTTCCTAAAAATCTTAAAAATTCTCAAATAAGTTAAAGAGTTTTTTAACTTTTAAATAAATTCACTGTAATGTATTAATGGTGTCAAAGTTATTTCCTATGCGCCTTTCGCCGGTTTCTTAAGCCACCTCATTAGGAAACCTTTCTCAATATTTTAGGAAAACTAGAAATATCTTATGAAAGAATTATTTTAAACTCAAGAAGAATTCAAAACGCATCTTTTACAAAATATTAAAGTTTTGACAAAATACCAACAATAACAATGATTTAATTTTTTCATACATTCCTTTCTACACTAGGCTGGTTGTTTTCGAACTCTAAAAGTATTTTGTTTTACTTTATACTTGGTAAATGCTAGATTCGGATTTAATTTTATTATCTTCATTATATATTTAAGGAATCATATATTCTTTTACTACTTTTTCCATCTCTGTTATAGAACAGAAGCAAATTACAAAAAAAGTACAAAAAACATGAAAAATGTATACTATATAAAAGATTTTTATAAAAATAAATATAAAAAAATAATAATAAATTAATGTAAATAAATGTCTGCAAAACGAATAAATAATTTGAGAAAAAGGTGATAATTTTGCGTGTATTACGAAAAATAATAGGAATTCAGATGAATTAAAAATAAACGAAAAATATTAAGGAAATAAATGTTTTCATTAGCAATATAAATACAACAGAGAAAATAAATGTATTTTCTCTCTTATGAAAATTGTAATATGGAATAGCCTTTTGGGAATCAATAATAATATCATTGCCCGTAAAATGATCTCTTGGGCGATTGATAGTTTTTCCCCATTCTAATCACCAGGATCCGATGGTATTTTGCCAATGATATTACAAAGTGCATCAAAGATTCCAAGCTTAAACTTGCCGCTGTTAAAGAACTACGAAATCCCCTTATGAAAATGCCAAATATCTAGGAATTATTCTAGACTCCAAACTATCATGGAAACGTAACATCCAACAGAGTCAAGAAGGCAACGGACGCATATTATACCTGTCGTAAGATGTTTGGGATAAAATAGGGACTTAGTCCCAACATAGTTAAATGGATATGTACAGTTATAGTACGTCCTATTCTTATATACATTTTGTTTGTAGATCAGCTACCTATACAAAGTTTATAGATCAGCATGCATTGGGATAATAGGTGCTCTTAGAACTAGTCCTTCAAAAGTTCTGAACACTACATTGCAAATCCTAACTATATGTAGATCTTCATATAATGGCCATATCTGCATGCAACGCAGCGAGGCTTAACTCATGCGAAAGAACATAGGGACACGCCAAGGTGTCTTCTGTGAAGAATTTGGGGTTAGTACATCTCACCATCCCAACAACTGTATTGTTTTTCAGGCTGAAATATTTTTGATGTCAGCCTGTAGGGTACCTGGGCTCCCAAGTCGGCATTGTTAGAGTATCCTTGGAATCAATTCACAGGGATAAAAAGTTGTATATACTTTCCCTTATCTAAAGATGCTACCTTATCAGATAAGTTTTGCAGAAATATTTTGCTCGTCACGGAAGTCACGGAACCAGAAATGGATATAGTAAATAAAATCGATTCAATTGTTGGCAATAGAGAATGTAATTTTTGCAAAAACAAATAAAACAACATACAGTGTCTCTCATAAGTATTCGAATTTAGGTAAACTATGAAAAGAAACCAAGTTTAATAATATATTTTGTGTGGAAAATAAATAAATTAATTTGTTATATTGTCTAGATAGTCCTTAGTTTTGATATCACGCCCCTTAAAACTTGAAAACTTTACATTTACTTAAATTAGTTATGCTTTTTTTAAAAAAAGTCCATGAAACTACTTCACAAAAGTATGCGAATTTTTTCTGTATTTCATATTTGATCATATTATACGATACACAAATTCTAGAATCGCATGGTTTTATGCTTAATATTGTTTTAAGGGATTACTATCAACCGCATGGATATATTTTTGACCCATTTGGTCCACAATTTTGGGGGATTTGTACCCTCTTTTCATGTAATATCATTAAAATGGCGATTTTTGGCTATATTTGTAATGTTTTCACCCTTTTTCCAGAGATAAAACCAAAATTTAATATTGGAATTTAATAGAACCCATAGGGTATCTAAAAATAATATTTTTTGTTATAAAGATCTGTACTTAAACGTTCCAAGATGTATTTTAGGTATCGTTTTTCAGTTTCTAATTGAATTATCTGCATCATAAATCCCTTTTCGTACCTCTGGGGACGATATTTTCCGACAAAGTTGTCTAGTGTATATTCATGTACATATTGGCACTAATATATTTAAATTTTCAATACATTATAGCGGTATACAACCCCAAAACATGCCTTAACAAAACGTCATCCTATATAATAGATTTCAATTTTTACTACTCGTAACTTTCACGCTTGTGTTGCCCGTTACAATAACACTGTAAGTCCAAAATTTTGGTTTTAATTTGATCATAGTAAATAATATTTAAACACATATCAACATTTTTGAGTTAGATCATGATGATATCGTGCCATGCAGCATGGAGGCCATTGGTATATAAAAATAATGATTTTACTATTTTGAATGGTGTTTCTTCGCGACATGTTTTGGAGTTGTACACTTCCACAACACATTGAAAACTTAAAATGTATAAAAGCTGATATCTAAAAGAATATATACCAGAAAACTTTCCCCGATAACAGTTGATCCTAGTATTATAAAAATGGACTTAAGTTCCAATATATTGAATTAGCGACAGAAGAATGATCCGAATAATTTATCTTGGAACGTTTAAATACAGATTCTTGTAACAAAAAATATTATTTTTAGATAACCCAAGGGGTCTTTTAAGTCCCAATATCAAATTTTTCTTTTATCTCTGGAAAAAAGGAGAAAAATTTAAAATTATGGCCAAAAATCGCCATTTTAATGCTATTACATGAAAAGAGGGTACAAATTCCCCAAAATTGTGGACCAAATGGGCCAAAAATATATCCTTTCCGTGGATAGTAACCCCTTAAAACAATATTACGCATAAAAACCATTCGATTCTATTTGTGTTGCGTATAATATGATCAAATATGCAATACAGAAAAAATTCGTATACTTTTGTGAGGCAATTTCATGGACTTTTTTTAAAAAAGCACAATTAATTTAAGTCAATGCAAATTTTTCAAGTTTTAAAAAGCGTGATATCAAACATAAGCACTATCTAGACAATATAACAAATTAATTTATTTGTTTTGCACACAAAATATATTATTAAATTTGGTTTCTTTTTATAGTTTACCCAAATTCGAATAATTATGAGAGACACTGTAAATGTTCTTAAAAAAATAGTACCACACTTTAACTTACCAAAAGACCTTGAACTGATTTTGTTGTTTTAATGCAACTACTCTTGTTGTTCTTGTTATAGATGAATTTATTGTTATTGGTTTAACGTTTTAATAAATTTTTTTAGTTCAGTAAAAAATCCAGTTTTTAATTATTAACTACGAGACAAAACCGTTAGAAATGAAAACCCACACATTTGCACTCTTTTTTGTACATATTTTTTAATTCAAGCACAGCAATTAACAGTTCAATGCAAAGTAGAAGAGAGAGATTTTGTTTTAAAAATTAAATTCACTGCTTTGTAGAGAATATTAACAAGAATTTTATATAAATGTTTAAATAAAATATTAAATTATTCTTTTTAATTTTTAAGCCAAATCAAGGGTAAAACTTAAACGGTTTATTATTTTGTTTGCTGTTTCTACTTTTTTCTCTTTTACGTTCTTCTTTTGACCCACACTTAACTGGCAAACACACACACAAAGCTTTTAAAAAGCGAATCAATGAAGAAAATGAAGAATGAAAAAATCAGCAACAACTACAAATTAATTTATTTCGTTCTTTTTTTATACTTTTTTTCTCAATGAAGGGCAAAACTGCAGCCAGCTGCAATATATGATGTTATTGTTGTTGCTTTAGTTGCAATTCTCTCTAAACACTTCGATTTTTCACCAAAAACAATTTCGCGAAAAAAACTTGTAATTTATGTCTGCTATACCACAGAAATCTTATTAGATGTTGAAATACCTTTTCAATTTGAATTTTCCACTTGGAATTTCCCTTTGAAAGCAAAATTTCTTTTCCTTTTACAATATTGTACTTTAACAATAATTACGCAGTTTACTTTGTTTGAAACAAAAAAATGTATATTTTTTGTTGTGCTGAGCTTTGACTTTCTTGGTATCCTTCTAGAATTTTTTCACTTTCTGCAATATTATTGTTTAGTTTTCCATAGCATGTTTATTTTTATTATAAATTTTCGTTAAATTTCCTGTTTTAATTTTATAAAAATTTACATTACACAAGCCAAGAACTCAACGTCAAGCACAATTTTACAAATTTTTTCTTCTCATTCGTTCTTATTTTTTCTCAATTTGAAAACACACAACAAATCACTTTAACACATAATGACCACGGATGGTTGATGTTTGAAAAATAGTATCAAAAAAACTAGTTGATTTTGTGTTCAATATTTATTATTTTTTTGCATATTCTTGGATGTCTTCTTTGTTTTGTTTTTTTTTCTTCTTATTCTTTCTGTTTGTATTTACCTTGCTTCTATATATACCTTTGTTTATTTAGTACGAGAGAAAGAGAGAAAAAGTGTATATACAAAAACAGCGAAACAGCTGTTGTCATTCCATTTTTATTGAATGAAATAAGGAAGGTTGGCAATGCCGGTTAGCCGTAAATATGTGTTTATATTAAGTTGATAATGCCGTGCATGTAAACTACGAAAAGCAGATAAATATGTTGTAGTTATTGTTTTAAAAATATTGCTTGTTAAACTTTCACGTTAATTGCAATTTATAAATTTTCTTACTTTTCCACTAGTTAGTTAGTTAGTCAGTCAGGTCAGTTAGTTAGTTAGTTAGTTAGTTAGTTAGTTCGTTAGTTAGTTAGTTAGTTAGTTAGTTAGTTAGTTAGTTAGTTAGTTAGTTAGTTAGTTAGTTAGTTAGTTAGTTAGTTAGTTAGTTAGTTAGTTAGTTAGTTAGTTAGTTAGTTAGTTAGTTAGTTAGTTAGTTAGTTAGTTAGTTAGTTAGTTAGTTAGTTAGTTAGTTAGTTAGTTAGTTAGTTAGTTAGTTAGTTAGTTAGTTAGTTAGTTAGTTAGTTAGTTAGTTAGTTAGTTAGTTAGTTAGTTAGTTAGTTAGTTAGTTAGTTAGTTAGTTAGTTAGTTAGTTAGTTAGTTAGTTAGTTAGTTAGTTAGTTAGTTAGTTAGTTAGTTAGTTAGTTAGTTAGTTAGTTAGTTAGTTAGTTAGTTAGTTAGTTAGTTAGTTAGTTAGTTAGTTAGTTAGTTAGTTAGTTAGTTAGTTAGTTAGTTAGTTAGTTAGTTAGTTAGTTAGTTAGTTAGTTAGTTAGTTAGTTAGTTAGTTAGTTAGTTAGTTAGTTAGTTAGTTAGTTAGTTAGTTAGTAGTTAGTTAGTTAAGTTAGGAAAGAAATTAAATTTTTCTTCGTTTAAAAATAATATTTGAATGTTTATTTTTTTTAATTTTTTCTTTTACAGTGTAAATAGAACTATTTCTTTAATCTGGCAACAATTTCCCATAAGTATTTTTTTATGGCAACATCTTTTACTTTCCAATAAAACACAAAATGCAAAATTCTACAAATTCCATTCCAGCGCAAAAATTGGTAGAATTAGATAAAAACAGTTTTACCGGAATAATTTTGATCAAAATCGGGCCAAATCTATTAAAAACCTAATAAATAATAAACAATAAGATTATGAAAACTACATAAACAACTAAAGACAATAAAACAAACATCAAAAACAGGGAAGTGTATAGAAAAAAGAAGAACTAAAGACAAAACAAAAAGAAAATTAGATAAGAAAAAATACAGAAAAATTTAAGGCAAAACATATTCGAAACAAAATAAATTTTAATTGCATGTTGGTAAAATTAAATTTACGAAATATTTTTGGACATGAGTAGCCAAAGTCATCGTAAAATGTCTGGCATACGTTTGCCAAATAAACCACGAACTGATGAAATAGAACTTACAGGTAATGTCACAGCTAAACAAATACATTTTCTTGTATACATTTTTTCATTGCGCTCTGTGTGTCTGGTTGTTTTTCTTCTAGAACTTTTTTCCGCCCAAATGGCTCAACTTTGCTTAAATGACGATTACTCTGATGTCGCCTTTATTGTGGAAAATCAAAGGCTGCCCGCCCATCGCGTAATGTTGGCTGCTCGCAGTGAATACTTTCGTGCCCTTTTGTATGGTGGCCTCTCTGAATCGAAACAGTCGGAAATACATCTTAAGGTGCCTGTAGATGCTTTTAAGGCTTTACTGCGTTATATTTACTCCGGTCACTTGTCGCTAACACAAATGGATGAAGATAACATATTAGATACATTGGGTTTGGCCAATCAATATGGTCTCTCCGAATTGGAATTGGCTATATCTGATTATTTGCGCCAATATTTGGCCTTGTCAAATGTTTGTGCTATTTTGGATGCTGCACGTCTTTATAATTTAGAGAAATTGACCAGAGTTTGTTTGACATTTATGGATCGTAATGCTGCCGATATATTACAACATGAATCTTTTAAGAATTTATCAAAAGTATGAATTTCACAGTTAATAGTTTTGTTTATTTTTAATTGTTGTTTGTATTTGTTTTAGGAATCTCTAGAAGAGGTATTGAGACGCGATTCTTTTTTTGCTCCCGAAGTACAGATATTTGTAGCCGTATGGGAGTGGTGCAAGCACAATAAAAATGTTGATATACAGGTAAGTGGATTTTTACAAAAAGGCAATTTAAAGAAAATTGTTCGAAACATTTTTTTATACAAAGAAAATTTAACAAAAATTTTATATAAAAAGAAAATTTTAGGAATAGTTTCCAGAAAAAGGAAATTTAACAAAAATTTTCTATAAAGAGATAATTTAACGAAAATTTCTATAAAAAGGAAATTTAAACGAAAATTTTCTACAAAAAAATGTTCGAATTTATCTAAAAAAATATACATTTTTTTATAATTTTTCAGTCTGTCGTATCTTATGTACGCCTACCACTCATGAATCTCGAACATCTACTACAAGTTGTACGTCCATCAGGCATCTTAGAACCCGATAAGCTTCTAGACGCCATAGAAGAACAAAATACATCAAAATATTTACCTTATCGGGCTGCCTTGTGGCCGGAGGAAAATGTAGCGACTGCAAAATTTGTATCACGTACCATACAGGGAGAATGCCGTGCAGAGCTTCTAAATGGCGATGTTACCACATATGACATGGAAAAGGGTTATACACGTCACTGCATTACAGATACCAACGATAGCGGTATTACTGTAGAACTGGGCACTGCTTGTATAATAAATCACATCAAGATACTGCTTTGGGATCGTGATAATCGTGCTTATTCATATTTCATTGAAGTTTCTGCCAATCAAATACAATGGGATCGTGTTATTGACTATTCCCAATATCACTGCCGTTCATGGCAATTTTTATATTTTCAAGCTCGGCCGGTGCGTTATATTAAATTGGTGGGCACACATAATACCGTAAATAAAGTATTTCATGTGGTGGCTTTAGAGGCCATGTACACTACAAATCTACCGAAAGTAATTAATGGCATTGTTGCGCCCACAGCAAATGTGGCCACCATTGAAATGAGTGCAGTAGTGGTGGATGGTGTTAGCCGCACTAGGAATGCTTTAATTAATGGCAATTATATTGACTATGATTGGGATTCGGGTTATACTTGTCATCAACTGGATAGCGGTGAAATTTTAGTGCGTTTGGGTATGTTAATGTGTGCTATATTTAAATAATTTAAATATTAAATAACTTTTGTTAACTTTTTAAAGGACAACCCTATATAATTGGTTCAATGCGTTTATTGCTATGGGATTGTGATGATCGCAACTACAGTTTTTATATTGAAACTTCAACAAATCGCAAAGATTGGGTTATGGTAGTAGATAAACGTAATGAAAAAGCCCGATCATGGCAAAACTTTTCATTTAATCCCCTACCAGTCGTATTTATACGCATAGTGGGTACACGTAATACCGCCAATGAAATCTTTCATTGTGTCCACTTGGAATGTCCGTCACAGGATCCGAATTTTATACTTATTGAAAAAGAAAAACAACGTGCTGTAGAAGAACGTAAACAACAACATAAACTTGCCGATAATCAACCCAGTTCAAGCAGAGAAAATACGCCACGCCTGAATTTAAATTTAGACCAAGCGCCGCAAGTAGAAGAAGGTGTACTCGTCCAACTTGACAATAGTTATTTAGAAGAAAACAACTAAGTATTATTATTACGTGAACATTAAAAATGAAGAAATACGAATATAAAAATACCAAATAATATCTCCAAAAAGATTTTATTTTAGTAATTAGCTTGTTTATAAAGTTTATATATTTAAAAGAATCAAATCTTAAGCAATAGTATTTGTAAATTTTTGTCAGCATGATTTACAAAATTAATTAAAGCAATATTTTTTTTGTTTTCTAATGGACGCTCGATTTAAATTAAAAAATAATTGACATTTAAGATGTAAATTTTTCAAAATCAATTTTGTCTAGCAGTTAAACTGTTAGATTAAATGTTTTCTCTGATTTTGTTGTAAAAGGTACAAATTTGATAAATACACTTGTTTGCATGCTTATCATTATTGCTTATTGTGTAAAGCTAATAATTCTTTAACATTCACACTTAAAAAATATTATATTTTGCTTAATTTATATTATTATTAAACATTATAAATTAACCCATTTACACAGTTCTTTTTTTTTTTTTGCTAAAAATAAACAAAATTTTTATGAAATATGTATTTAATGTCTGTGTATATTTTTTTTAGGTATTAAGGACGTCTAATCTAGAGTTTTAGCTGAATATTGTGGCTAAAAGTTGATTTTTAAGACTCCAATATTAAGTTTACGAGTACATTTTACTCTAAACAAACACTTTTAACCAGTTATCCATTTTTGTTCTTAATAAAATTTTGGTGAATAAAAATACTACTATTCTGATCTTAATTAAAGATCAATTAATATTACTCTCAATGCTATTTGACTATTATCATCAATTCTATTTTGTGTATAAAATATCGTTTCATTAAATTGTAACATACTACATATGAGCAAATCTATTTCAAGGCAATTGTGTTCTGTACACAAACTTACCTTAAATGGCACAGCTGGTGTCTCATCCTAGTTTGCTTAAAAACACACGCAAAACGATAACTTTTTTGTTTTTTGCTTTATTTTTGTGTCAGTTTTTATTTACGCGCTTGATAGCTCAAGGAAAACTATTTACTTGACCTCACTCTATGGTTAGTTTGACGTACAATATGTGTGTTCCATTTAAAAACAAACAACATCTTTGGGGGATACATAAATAAACATAGAAAAATTTAAGAGTGTGATTGCTTTTTGGTCTTTTCACGCTATCTTCTTTTCTTCTACATATTGTAGCAAAATCGAAAGTCAATATTTACACAGATTGGTTAAAGCACTTCGTAAATATTATAAAAAATTTCTATCTAAGTATGAGAATATTCTTCAAAATGATAAATGTTCTACTAAATTCAAAGTTAAAATAACAAGGAGAAGAATAAGAAAATTATATAAAAATTAATCATATAAGTAATTTATCATCGCGCCAGGATATGTGGAAAAATATCCATACATATGCTAATTCATTTACATTTTGAAATGATAAACCTCAAAAATATTCAGTTTTTACTCTGTTTGCTATTATTCAGAACACAAAAATAAACTCACGTAGTGAATAAGTTTTTCATTGTAATAGAAAATGATTTAGGTTAATCTTGATAATTTAATATACAATACAGTTTTACCTTTTCACTAACCATTTGGTGTTTATTTTACCACATAGAAACTACAGAAACTAAGGGAAGAAAAAAAGTAAAAGTGGGCGTTATTAACCTTCTAACACATTCAGTGAACAGTTGAAAAACTCACATTAACTTAAACTTATACAATGAAAATTCTAGGTGTAAATAAATTTGTTCGTTCAGCTGCATAAATGTTGAGGTAGGCTTTTTTGTATCTACTTGGCTTAAGGCTAATCATTTATAATATACACTCACCTCCATACATATCCACTTGGATATTATTTTATGGCCTATAAACTCAATGGATATGCTTATTAAATATGCAAAGAGTGTTTTGTATGAAATTTTATAGGGTACGAAAGAATTTGGTTGTGAACCCTAAGGTGAATATGTCAAAAGTTTTAACTGTTTCATATCTGCTATATCTTAAATAGGTGCAAATCATGAAAAAATGCTAAAATTACAATAAAAGCTATTAAGTTGAAAATTATGAAATATGTTTATCTTTGTGATTTCGAAAAAAATTTAAACGATAAAAGTGATAATTATACATTATTTTGAATGTTTATAATTAATGGATTTTCATTATCAGTAATAACACTTAAACAATATTTGCAAATAAGGGCTATAAACACAACAACTCAATTACAATATCCGAAAATTTATCGAAAATTCTCTAGCTAAACAGAATTTTTAGATTTTTTTAATTAAAGAAATAAATTTATCATAAAACAAATAATATTCCTTAAAAAAAAATTTTACCAAAATTTTCTATAAAAAATATTGAGATTTTTTTTATCAAAAAGATTTTAATCGAAATTTTTCGAAAACTTTCTTTAAAAAAGATGAAAATATTTTTTATAAATAAGAAAATTTTCTATAGAAAAGAAAATTTATCTTAAATATTCTATGAAAAGAAATTTGTCTTCAATTTTAATTTTCTATAGGAAGAAAATTTATCGAAAATTTTCTATAGGAAGAAAATTTGATGGAAAATTTTCTAAAGAAAGAAATTTGATGGAAAATTTTCTAAAAAAAGAAATTTGATGGAAAATTTTCTAAAGAAAGAAATTTGATGGAAAATTTTCTAAAGGAAGAAATTTGATGGAAAATTTTCTAAAGAAAGAAATTTGATGGAAAATTTTCTAGAGAAAGAAATTTGATGGAAAATTTTCTAAAGAAAGAAATTTGATGGAAAATTTTCTAAAGAAAGAAATTTGATGGAAAATTTTCTAAAGAAAGAAAATTTGTCGAAAATTTTCTAAAGAAAGAAAATTTGTCAAAAATTTTCTAAAGAAAGAAAATTTATAAAGAAAGAAAATTGATGGAAAATTTTCTAAAGAAAGAAAATTTATCGAAAATTTTCAAAAAGCAAGTTTATAAAAAATTTTCTATAAGAACGCAAATTTATCGAAAATTTTCTATAAGAAAGCAGATTTATCGAAAATTTTCTAAAGAAAGCTAATTTATCGAAAATTTTTTAAAGAAAGAAAATTTATCGAAAATTTTCTAAAGAAAGAAAATTTATCGAAAATTTTCTAAAGAAAGAAAATTTATCGAAAATTTTCTAAAGAAAGAAAATTTATCAAAAATTATCCAAAGAAAGAAAATTTATCGAAAATTTTCCAAAGAAAGAAAATTTATCGAAAATTTTCCAAAGAAAGAATATTTATCGAAAATTTTCCAAAGAAAGAAAATTTATCGAAAATGTTCCAAAGAAAGAAAATTTATCGAAAATTTTCCAAAGAAAAAAAATTTATCGAAAATGTTCCAAAGAAAGAAAATTTATCGAAAATTTTCCAAAGAAAGAAAATTTATCAAAAATTTTCCAAAGAAAGAATATTTATCGAAAATTTTCCAAAGAAAGAAAATTTATCGAAAATGTTCCAAAGAAAGAAAATTTATCGAAAATTTTCCAAAGAAAAAAAATTTATCGAAAATGTTCCAAAGAAAGAAAATTTATCGAAAATTTTCCAAAGAAAGAAAATTTATCGAAAATTTTTCCTAAGAAAGAAAAATTATCAAGAATTTTCTATTAAAAGAAAAATTATCAAAAATAAATAGGAAATTTTCAGAAACTTCAGATTTTACATGAATTTATACAAAATTTCTGAGATTGTTACAAAAAGAAGCAAATTTTTTTTCAAATACTTTTCTATTTTCAGGTTTAACCACAAACAATTTTTAGTTATTAGTGAAATACGCACGCATTCAAACAAACAAAAAAATATTCCTTAAAAAAAATTTTACCAAAATTTTCTATAAAAAATATTGAGATTTTTTTTATCAAAAAGATTTCAATCGAAATTTTTCTATAAAAAGAACATGTTTGGAAAACTTTCTTTAAAAAAGATGAAAATATTTTTTATAAATAAGAAAATTTTCTATAGAAAAGAAAATTTATCTTAAATATTCTATGAAAAGAAATTTGTCTTCAATTTTAATTTTCTATAGGAAGAAAATTTATCGAAAATTTTCTATAGGAAGAAAATTTATCGAAAATTTTCTATAGGAAGAAAATTTGATGGAAAATTTTCTAAAGAAAGAAATTTGATGGAAAATTTTCTAAAAAAAGAAATTTGATGGAAAATTTTCTAAAGAAAGAAATTTGATGGAAAATTTTCTAAAGGAAGAAATTTGATGGAAAATTTTCTAAAGAAAGAAATTTGATGGAAAATTTTCTAGAGAAAGAAATTTGATGGAAAATTTTCTAAAGAAAGAAATTTGATGGAAAATTTTCTAAAGAAAGAAATTTGATGGAAAATTTTCTAAAGAAAGAAATTTGATGGAAAATTTTCTAAAGAAAGAAAATTTGTCGAAAATTTTCTAAAGAAAGAAAATTTGTCAAAAATTTTCTAAAGAAAGAAAATTGATGGAAAATTTTCTAAAGAAAGAAAATTGATGGAAAATTTTCTAAAGAAAGAAAATTTATCGAAAATTTTCAAAAAGCAAGTTTATAAAAAATTTTCTATAAGAACGCAAATTTATCGAAAATTTTCTATAAGAAAGCAGATTTATCGAAAATTTTCTAAAGAAAGCAAATTTATCGAAAATTTTTTAAAGAAAGAAAATTTATCGAAAATTTTCTAAAGAAAGAAAATTTATCGAAAATTTTCGAAAGAAAGAAAATTTATCGAAAATTTTCGAAAGAAAGAAAATTTATCAAAAATTTTCCAAAGAAAGAAAATTTATCGAAAATTTTCCAAAGAAAGAAAATTTATCGAAAATTTTCCAAAGAAAGAAAATTTATCGAAAATGTTCCAAAGAAAGAAAATTTATCGAAAATTTTCCAAAGAAAGAAAATTTATCGAAAATTTTCCAAAGAAAGAAAATTTATCGAAAATTTTCTATTAAAAGAAAAATTATCAAAAATAAATAGGAAATTTTCAGAAACTTCAGATTTTACATGAATTTATACAAAATTTCTGAGATTGTTACAAAAAGAAGCAAAATTTTTTTCAAATACTATTTTCAGGTTTAACCACAAACAATTTTTAGTTATTAGTGAAATACGTACGCATTCAACAAAAGAGCAACTTTAATTGAACAAAAGAGCAACTTTAATTAAATAAACATGTGTCAGGTTTATTTAACATTAATTTAATTTCCTTGTGATTATTTCAGTTGATTCTATTATTGCACCATTTTATAAAATTACTATATGTGCTGTTATATTTATGATTTTTGTAATTTATTTTTGGGTTGCTCATGTTTTGTGCATTTAAAAGTGCACTTTTTTACTTCTCACCATTGTTTGCTTTGCCATTATATTCGTCGCAATGTTTTGAGTGTTCTAAACTTGTATTCACACCTTTAATTTCCGTTTATAATAAATGAATGTAGCATATGTTTGGGGATTGTATGTATTTATTTTGCTGCTGCCTGCCAAAGTTCAAAATGTGGAAAATTATTTCAGAGTTTTATGGCAAGTGAGTGTGTGTATGAGTTTATGGAGTTTTTAGTAGAACATTTCAGTTGAATACCATTTCCGTTTAATGTTTGTTATAAATTTTCCTTGCGCATTTTTTTGAACTTTAAAGTAAACGAGGGAATAAAGAAAAATTTTAAGTGGTAGATTTAGTATTATTTTAATAAGACACATTTTAAATAACTTTACTTAGATTTCTGAAACCATTTTGTTTTTAACCTTAATCCTTTTTTTCAGTCTTTTTCTTCTTCAAATGTCTTAAACAATTTACATTTGTTTTGTGTAAAATTGAACAATTTAATCTTGATTTAAATCTTTAAATCTAAAAATAGAAATCTTAACCGACAGAATAATACTTAAAGTGATTATTAAGTTAAAGTCTTTTTCTCTTTTTGTGGGACTTAAACGAACATGTACATTTTACAAGACATCTTGCATACACATGCATATGCACGAATAACTCTACACATTTAACATGGTACATCGGAAAGGCAAACAGAAAGTCACTTTACATTTTGAACTGGATGTTGCAGTAGACTTGCACTAATGCTTACACACCAAGTCACACACATAATACAAGTAGTTACCAAAATGTAACCCGAATTATCGGAAGGAAGTAAGCCAATGTGTTAGTTAGCAAATGCAGACAATGTAGCTGATAGATAGACTGACGGACGGACAGGCGGTCCAAACGCCCAAACGTCAGATAGTCACACACTAAAGGAAAGTGATGTTAAAGGCAAACTGAACAAAAGACTATTCCTAAACTACAAACATACATATGTGTGTAGCTGTGTAATACAAATACTAGGCCAATTCTACTTTAATTTGTGAGAAAGGGTTCTTTGAGATGAACTGTTTTAAAAAAGGTTAAAACTAAATTTCTAAAAAAATTTTTGGGAAATTCAAAAAAATTTTCGATAAATTTTCTTTTCTAAGAAAACCCTTTAAATTTTCTACTAAAAAATTCAAAGTTAATTTTTGTTTTTGTCTTTTTATAGAAAATTATCCACAAATTTTCTTTTTATAAAAAATTTTCAATAATTTTTTTATTATAAAAATTTTTCCACAAATTTTCTTTTTATAGCGAGTTTTACACAAGTTTTCTTTTTATAGAAAATTTTCCACAAATTTTCCTTTTATAAAAAAATTCTATAAATTTTCTTTTTATAAAAGAAAATCCTATAAGTTTTCTTTTTATAAAAAATTTTATATACATTTTCTATTGTAGAAAATTTTCACAAATTTTTTGTTATAGAAAATTTTCCACAAATTTTCTTCTTATAGAATATTTTTGTAAAGAATTTTCTTTTTATAGAAAATTTTCCACAAATTTTCTTCTTATAGAATATTTTTGTAAAGAATTTTCTTTTTATAGAAAATTTTCGATAAATTCTCTTTTTAAAGAAAATTTTCGATAAATTCTCTTTTTATAGAAAATTTTCGATAAATTCTCTTTTTATAGAAAATTTTCGATAAATTCTCTTTTTATAGAAAATTTTCGATAAATTCTCTTTTTATAGAAAATTTTCGATAAATTCTCTTTTTATAGAAAATTTTCGATAAATTCTCTTTTTATAGAAAATTTTCGATAAATTCTCTTCTTATATAAAATTTTCGATAAATTCTCTTCTTATAGAAAATTTTCGATAAATTCTCTTCTTATAGAAAATTTTCGATAAATTTTCTTTTTATAGTAAATTTTCGATAAATTCTCTTTTTATAGAAATTTTTCGATAAATTCTCTTTTTATAGAAAATTTTTCGATAAATTCTCTTTTTATAGTAAATTTTCGATAAATTCTCTTTTTATAGAAAATTTTCGATAAATTCTCTTTTTATAGAAAATTTTCGATAAATTCTCTTTTTATAGAAAATTTTCGATAAATTTTCTTTTTATAGAAAATTTTCGATAAATTCTGTTTTTATAGAAAATTTTCGATAAATTCTCTTTTTATAGAAAATTTTCGATAAATTCTCTTTTTATAGAAAATTTTCGATAAATTCTCTTTTTATAAAAAATTTTCGATAAATTCTCTTTTTATAAACATTTTTCGATAAATTCTCTTTTTATAGTAAATTTTCGATAAATTCTCTTTTTATAGAAAATTTTCGATAAATTCTCTTTTTATAGAAAATTTTCGATAAATTCTCTTTTTATAGAAAATTTTCGATAAATTCTCTTTTTATAGAAAATGTTCGATAAATTCTCTTTTTATAGAAAATGTTCGATAAATTCTCTTTTTATAAAAAATTTTCAATAAATTCTCTTTTTTATAAAAAAATTTCTATAAATTCTCTTTTTATAGAAAATTTTCGATAAATTTTCTTTTTATGAAGAATTTTCGATAAATTCTCTTTTTATAGAAATTTTTCGATAAATTCTCTTTTTATAGAAATTTTTCGATAAATTCTCTTTTTATAGAAATTTTTCGATAAATTTCCTTTTTATAGAAAATTTTTCGATAAATTCTCTTTTTATAAAAATTTTTCGATAAATTCTCTTTTTATAGTAAATTTTCGATAAATTCTCTTTTTATAGAAAATTTTCGATAAATTCTCTTTTTATAGAAATTTTTCGATAAATTCTCTTTTTATAGAAAATTTTTTGATAAATTCTCTTTTTATAGAAAATTTTTCGATAAATTCTCTTTTTGTAGAAAATTTTTCGATAAATTCTCTTTTTATAGAAAATTTTTCGATAAATTCTCTTTTTATAGAAAATTTTTCGATAAATTCTCTTTTTATAGAAAATTTTCGATAAATTCTCTTTTTATAGAAAATTTTTCGATAAATTCTCTTTTTATAGAAAATTTTCGATAAATTCTCTTTTTATAGAAAATTTTCGATAAATTCTCTTTTTACAGAAAATTTTCGATAAATTCTCTTTATATAGAAAATTTTCGATAGATTCTCTTTTTATAGAAAATCTTCGATAAATTCTCTTTTTATAGAAAATCTTCGATAAATTCTCTTTTTATAGAAAATCTTCGATAAATTCTCTTTTTATAGAAAATTTTCGATAAATTCTCTTTTTATAAAAAATTTTCAATAAATTCTCTTTTATAGAAAATTTTCAATAAATTCTCTTTTTTATAAAAAATTTTCTATAAATTCTCTTTTTATAGAAAATTTTCGATAAATTCTCTTTTTATAGAAAATATTCGATAAATTCTCTTTTTATAGAAAATTTTCGATAAATTCTCTTTTTATAGAAAATTTTCGATAAATTTTTTTTTATAGAAAATATTCGATAAATTCTCTTTTTATAGAAAATTTTCGTTAAATTCTTTTTTATAGAAAATTTTCAATAGATAATCTCATTTTAGGAAAATTTTCGTTAAATTTACCTTTTATAGAAAATTTTTCGATACATTTTTTTTTAACACAAAAATTTTCATTCATGTTTCTTTTAATAGGAAATTTTTAATAAACTTTCTTTTTTGACAAAATTATCGAAAAATTTTATTTTTATATAAATTTTCTTAAAATTTTTCTTTTTAAATAAAGTTTTATTTTTTAAAAATGTTTTTAAAAATAACCTTTACATTGTAAAGATCCTGTATTTAAATTGGCAAGAAAAACCAGTTCGTAAGGCACATTTTTCTCCTTATCCTTTCCAAGACCATTGCAATCATTGTGTGAGTGTAAGAAAAATAATGCAAAAGAAATTCAAAATATTCAACATTGCATAAAAACGATTGTACTTTAAGGTGTTCACACAAAAAATGGAAATCATTGTTAAGTTTCAAACATAAAATAACGAAAAAAATGAACAAAAAAATTGCAAAAAAAAGAAAATCTCGTAAAGATGAAAAAACGACAACACTTGTGTAAATAATAGTCAAAGTTTTGGTATAATCGTTAGAATTTAAAAAAATGTTCAGTTGTTTTCACAGGAAGTAAAGTGCAGTATTTGTTAAACACAGATAGCTACTTATAGTACATACGGAACGAAGCAACTAACCAACTACCATATTATAGAAACGTGAGAAAACAAAAACCTTCAACTTTTACTACGAAAAATTACATATTTAGTTTTTAAATAAACTTTGAAATAAAACTAATTTTAAACAGATTTTCAAATGATGAGAATTTCAATTGTTCCATCATTTTATGTACTTTTGTGTAAAGGTTTATTTTTCGAATGAGTGTAAATGATTGCAAAAAGTTGAAAGTGAATGTAATTAAATGTAAGTTACTTCGTTTTTGCCTTTAACATGTTTTAGGAGGTTTAGGTATTTGTATAGAAGTTTTTCTTTTAACTTAAACTCATTAAATATTTCAAGGAGTTTGATATTTTTGGAAGATAAGAATTAGTTCTATGGAATTATGAAATGTTGGCCAGAAAATTTTGTTCCTTGGGTAACTGAAATCAGATTCTTAAAAATTTTGTTGAAGTCTTTGAGGATCGTCTTATTAAAGGACCTAGCTTTCACGTTAGATCCCGATATATAAGGTCATTAAAGATCACTATTTCCTAACTTTAGGCATGCCCGAAAAGCATTATATTATTTGCTAATTTTACGGACAAAATAATCATCCTTATTTGTCAATTTTTAATATTCATAATATAAATACCTTATCATGCTTGATCATGTAATTTTTTAAACAAATTGAACAATCAGTATTATCTGTCATCAAAAAGTTAGTGTAGGTCTTTACAAACTAAAAAAATAATGACTTGCAAAATCAGATTTTTACTAAAATCTCTAATATATATAAAAATAATAAAACAAATAGTAGTAGTAATTACCAAATCATACATATCTACAAAACTAAATTGTTTCAACAACTTGTAAATAATAATTGAATTAAAAAAGCACAACCAGACATACACGAACGAATATTACACACCTATAATTAAATTATTAATTTCAAATTACTAACTAACTATAGTTACAATAACAAACGGAAAACTTTAAAATAATTTCACAGCCACAGTTTTTCTAATAGTATTGCAAAAAACTTTAAACAGAACAAACGTGCGAATAAAAATATTAAAAATCTGTCGCTAAATTTGAATAATAATAAGAAAAGTTAAATATTTCATTTATTAAATTAATATTGCAAAAAAAAACTCAAAATAATATGGAACGCTGGCAAAATAAAATCGCTGTGGTGACAGGTGCCAGTTCGGGTATTGGTGTAGCCATTGTTAAGGATCTTCTCAAAAATGGCCTGCAAGTAGTGGGTTTAGCTAGACGTGTCGAACGTGTTGAGGATATTAAAAAGGAATTGCCGAAAAATTTGCAAACCAGATTGACAGCCCTAAAATGTGATGTTTCCAGTTTGAAATCGGTAAATGAAGCATTCGATAAAATTGTCTCGCATTTTGGTGGCGTAGATATTCTAGTTAATAATGCTGGTTGCATGAAACTGGGACAATTATCCACCATGAATGTCGCTGATGTGGAACAAGTTTTGCAAACAAATGTCATGGGTGTTGTATATTGTACTCAGCGTGCGTTCAAATCGATGAAAGAACGTAATTTTAATGGTCATGTAGTGCTCATCAATAGTATAGCTGGTCATAATGTTGTTAGTAGTATTGATGGTCAAGCACCACAATTTAATATCTATCCACCAAGTAAATTTGCCATAACCGCCATTACGGAAATCTATAGACAGGAGTTTAAAGGATTGGGAACAAAGATTAAAGTTACTGTAAGTTGGAAGAGTAGTTATTATGAATATGTATGTATTTAACATTGTTTATTGTTTATAGAGCATTAGTCCTGGTGCTGTGGATACTGAGATTATAGATGATAATTTCAAATCTATTTTACAAGGCACTATTTTGAAATCGGAGGATATTGCTTCCGGCGTTTTGTATGCTATTTCCACGCCACCTCATGTACAGATTCACGAAATGATCATTAAACCAGTGGGTGAAAGGTTTTAAGTGGATTTTTTAACTCTTTATGAAATTCAAATGAAATAAAAATATATTTTTAAAATCCAAGAAATTCGTCGAATTTAATGACTTCCCAGCAAAAACTTACATTGAAAAGTAAGGAGTTAAAATGCAAAAATTTATTTACACAATACAACTAACTAACTAACTAACTAACTAACTAACTAACTAACTAACTAACTAACTAACTAACTAACTAACTAACTAACTAACTAACTAACTAACTAACTAACTAACTAACTATAACTAACTAACTAACTAACTAACTAACTAACTAACTAACTAACTAACTACTAACTAACTAACTAACTAACTAACTAACTAACTAACTAACTAACTAACTAACTAACTAACTAACTAACTAACTAACTAACTAACTAACTAACTAACTAACTAACTAACTAACTAACTAACTAACTAACTAACTAACTAACTAACTACTAACTAACTAACTAACTAACTAACTAACTAACTAACTAACTAACTAACTAACTAACTAACTAACTAACTACTAACTAACTAACTAACTAACTAACTAACTAACTAACTAACTAACTAACTAACTAACTAACTAACTAACTAACTAACTAACTAACTAACTAACTAACTAACTAACTAACTAACTAACTAACTAACTAACTAACTAACTAACTAACTAACTAACTAACTAACTAACTAACTAACTAACTAACTAACTAACTAACTAACTAACTAACTAACTAACTAACTAACTAACTAACTAACTAACTAACTAACTAACTAACTAACTAACTAACTAACTAACTAACTAACTAACTAACTACTAACTAACTAACTAACTAACTAACTAACTAACTAACTAACTAACTAACTAACTAACTAACTAACTAACTAACTAACTAACTAACTAACTAACTAACTAACTAACTAACTAACTAACTAACTAACTAACTAACTAACTAACTAACTAACTAACTAACTACTAACTAACTAACTAACTAACTAACTAACTAACTAACTAACTAACTAACTAACTAACTAACTAACTAACTAACTAACTAACTAACTAACTAACTAACTAACTAACTAACTAACTAACTAACTAACTAACTAACTAACTAACTAACTAACTAACTAACTAACTAACTAACTAACTAACTAACTAACTAACTAACTAACTAACTAACTAACTAACTAACTAACTAACTAACTAACTAACTAACTAACTAACTAACTAACTAACTAACTAACTAACTAACTAACTAACTAACTAACTAACTAACTAACTAACTAACTAACTAACTAACTAACTAACTAACTAACTAACTAACTAACTAACTAACTAACTAACTAACTAACTAACTAACTAACTAACTAACTAACTAACTAACTAACTAACTAACTAACTAACTAACTAACTAACTAACTAACTAACTAACTAACTAACTAACTAACTAACTAACTAACTAACTAACTAACTAACTAACTAACTAACTAACTAACTAACTAACTAACTAACTAACTAACTAACTAACTAACTAACTAACTAACTAACTAACTAACTAACTAACTAACTAACTAACTAACTAACTAACTAACTAACTAACTAACTAACTAACTAACTAACTAACTAACTTACTAACTAACTAACTAACCCACTCACTTAACTATCTAATTAACTAACTCACTAACTAACTAACGGATAATCCCATATGATCGTCTACGTTCTAGTCTATGAACTAATTCTTGGCATCGTTATTTTTAAGGTCCCACTATATACATATTTTTGCAATTATTCCTATAACCCCTTATAGAAATCTTATAAAACCCAAAGAGCCAAAACAAGCACTAATTAATTCATAAAAACATTTAATCGCTATTAAATTTGTAACTTAAAAACCAGACCCATAAATTCTCTTATTTTAATTCTATTAATCTCTACAAAGTATTCACTTACTGACTACATATATAATTATTTGCGTTAGACTTTTTTTTTTATAAAACATTCATATTAATGGGGTCAGTATATTAGAAGCCATTAATCAAGACAACATTACCACCAAAGATTGCCTTTATCCATTGATGCAAAAGGCAAGTGTAGAATGTTGAGCTGTTGAGAGCAGACAAAGAAGTCACCCTCCATCATCGTACTAAACTGAAGGGCATTAACTGTATAAGTTAGTACACAAGTAAATGACCATTACCTACTTTAGTAACAAGAATATCAGTAATGTTGTTGTTTTTTGCCTTTAATATGAGTGTAATAATTATAATTTATACGTTTTATTATACATATATGAAATATTAGATTCTATAAATTAGGCTTAGTTCGTAAGGTTGCATTTTAAGGCAATCAATTTTGTTATTAGCAGCAGTTGAAAGGTATAATTAATTGATTGTTTAACAAGTTAATGTTAGAGGAAATTTGAATTTTTGTTTTGAAATTTTTAATTATTTTTTTTGATTGGAATATATTCTAAGTGTGAATTTAATTCGCCAATATTCTCAATTTTAGAAATTTAATAAAATTTCAGATAATAAGTTTCAATTAATAATTTGTTTGTTAGTACGTTTTTAGTGACTGAGATTAGAGGAAGCAAAGTGTATCAGTTTTGAAGAGATAAAAAAACAGGGCGATCTTTTATAATAGGTATTTATAATAGAAAATATTTTAAAATGGGTTTTGGATCAAAATATTTAGTAAATTTGACGATATAAAATTTTTAATTATTGTTTGTTTAGATGATGGGAAGGTATATTAAATTCGGCTCAGCCGTATAAAACCGTTTCTACTTTGGAATCTAAAATTACAAATAACTTTAAAAAAGTCTGGCTGGCACGTAGAAATAAATAATAATTATCTATATAAAAAATTGCAAACAAAATATTATAAATATTAGCAAAAAAGTCTATTATACATTTTAATCTCACTGGCTCTCGTCTACCTTTTCAAATTTAAATTATTAAATCATTTTACGCAAAGAGAAATGCTATTAGTCTAGTAAAAACCTTTAAACCTAACAAACGTGCTAGCAAAAAAATTTTAAAAAATTCACAAATAACAAGATAAGCTTAAATTGCAATATTTTATTAAATATTAATACAAAAAAAAAAAACATAAGAAATAATATGGAACGTTGGCAAAATAAAATCGCTGTGGTAACAGGTGCCAGTTCTGGTATTGGTGTAGCCATTGTTAAGGATCTGCTTAAAAACGGCCTGCAAGTAGTGGGTTTAGCTAGACGTGTTGAACGTGTTGAGGATATTAAAAAGGAATTGCCCAAAAATTTGCAAATAAAATTGACAGCTTTGAAATGTGATGTTTCCAGCTTAAAATCGGTAAATGAGACATTTGATAAAATTGTCTCGCATTTTGGTGGCATAGATATTTTGGTAAATAATGCTGGTTGTCTGAAACTAGGAAAATTATCCACCATGAATGTGGCTGATGTGGAACAAGTGTTGCAAACAAATGTCATGGGTGTCGTCTATTGTACACAACGTGCTTTCAAATCTATGAAAGAACGTAATTTTAATGGTCATGTTGTGCTTATCAATAGTATAGCTGGTCATAAAGTTATAAGTGGTGTTCAAATACCGGAATATAATATTTATCCGGCAAGTAAATTTGCCATAACTGCCATTACGGAAATCTATAGACAGGAGTTTAAAGGATTGGGTACAAAGATAAAAGTTACTGTAAGTTGCAAAATTTAACAGTGTAAAGAATAAATTTTAGAAATTTTTATTTTTTTTTTTATACTAGAGCATTAGTCCGGGTGCTGTTGATACTGAAATTCTAAATGATGATATTAAAACTGCTTTGGATGGTACGATTCTTAAAGCTGAGGATGTTTCGTCGGGTGTTTTGTATGCCATTTCCACGCCACCTCATGTACAAATTCATGAGATGATTATTAAGCCAGTTGGAGAAAGTTTTTAAGTGTATTTCATTAAGTAATAAAATAATAATTTAATTTTATAATATGATGTTTGTATATAAAGCAAATATTTTGGATGTTTAACATACAGATTCGACCTACACCAAACATTTCTAATCAAAAGAGAATATCTGTGCATAATTTCATTAATTTCCCTGTAGGCTTATTGTGCTTTCACTAGACGAATTAATGGGAATAGCTATGCAGCACTGTGGACAGAATTGTTTTTTTTTTTTTTTTTTTTAAATAATTCGGTAATTTCTAAACGTCTGGTCCGACTGGAGTGTAATTTGACATCTACATTTTAAAAATATAACTTTTTAAAAGAATGAAAATTTTCCATCCCATTTAAAACATTTGTATATTTTCTGAAAGTCTAAAGAGGCACATGAAATCCTGTAATTCCCAAAATTTAACTGAAAATGACAAAATTTGGATTTCTAAAATTTTTCTCCATTTTTCGATCCCAGATTTGAGAATTTAGATCAATTTTAAATTTCTAGTATAGTCTATAGTCTAGTCTATAGTCTAGTCTATAGTCTAGTCTATAGTCTAGTCTATAGTCTAGTCTATAGTCTAGTCTATAGTCTAGTCTATAGTCTAGTCTATAGTCTAGTCTATAGTCTAGTCTATAGTCTAGTCTATAGTCTAGTCTATAGTCTAGTCTATAGTCTAGTCTATAGTCTAGTCTATAGTCTAGTCTATAGTCTAGTCTATAGTCTAGTCTATAGTCTAGTCTATAGTCTAGTCTATAGTCTAGTCTATAGTCTAGTCTATAGTCTATAGTCTATAGTCTAGTCATAGTTGTCTATAGTATAGTCTAGTCTAGTCTATAGTCTAGTCTATAGTCTAGTCTATAGTCTAGTCTATAGTCTAGTATAGTCTAGTATAGTCTAGTCTATAGTCTGTCTATAGTCTAGTCATATCAGTCTATAGTCTAGTCTAGTCTATCTATAGTCTAGTCTATAGTCTAGTCTATAGTCTAGTCTATAGTCTAGTCTATAGTCTAGTATAGTCTAGTCTATAGTCTAGTCTATAGTTAGTCTTAGTCTAGTCTATAGTCTAGTCTATAGTCTAGTCTATAGTCTAGTCTATAGTCTAGTCTATAGTCTAGTCTATAGTAGTCTAGTCTAGTCTATAGTCTAGTCTATAGTCTAGTCTATAGTCTAGTCTATAGTCTAGTCATATAGTCTAGTCTATAGTCTAGTCTATAGTCTAGTCTATAGTCTAGTCTATAGTCTAGTCTATAGTCTAGTCTATAGTCTAGTCTATAGTCTAGTCATAGTCTAGTCTATAGTCTAGTCTATAGTCTAGTCTATAGTCTAGTCTATAGTCTAGTCTATAGTCTAGTCTATAGTCTAGTCTAGTCTAGTCTATAGTCTAGTCTATAGTCTAGTCTATAGTCTATAGTCTAGTCTAGTCTACAGTCTAGTCTACAGTCTAGTCTATAGTCTAGTCTATAGTCTAGTCTATAGTCTAGTCTATAGTCTAGTCTATAGTCTAGTCTATAGTCTAGTCTATAGTCTAGTCTATAGTCTAGTCTATAGTGTAGTCTATAGTCTAGTCTATAGTCTAGTCTATAGTCTAGTCTATAGTATTTTGAAAACTTACCGGAGCGGACTTTCCTATTGATTATGGACTACTCTATTGACTGAATTATGCGATGCCAAAAAGTACAATAATACCTAGTTTTTCATCCCTGCTTCGTACCGATTTTCTCCCTAAAATTGCTGAATTTCAAAAATTTTTCAGACACCAACTTGTGCTTCTAAATTAATTACTCAAGCTTTTTTCCTAAGAAATTACTACTTTTTAGTTTTAGACGTATAGGGTGTGCGTTGATGAATCAATTACTATGTAAGTAACGTAAACTTTTAAATATACATACATATATGTAGATTCTTGACAGATTTAAATTACTGAGGATATTGGCAAACAACTTTCTACTGATTTATGCAATATCTCAATTAAGGTAACAACAATTAAAGTTATTAAAAATCTAGCGGCTAATTACGGAAACAATTAAAACGAGGTAGTAAACAATTTTATTTATAAATAATTTTAAAGTATATAATATTTTTTAACTATTTCAATAAAAGCGTAATTAAAATATTTCTCCAACTGGTTTTATAGTAATTTCGTGAATTTGTACATGAGGCGGTGTGGAGAGGGTGTATAAAACAGCATTTGAAATATCATGAGCATTTAAAATACAATCTTTCATGGCCTGCTTAAAGGGGTCACTAACAATTTCGGTATCCACTAAACCGGGACTAACGCTCTATAAATTAAAAAAAAATAATTAATTAAATCCTAATTATTTTCTTTTGATAAAAAACACTTACCGTAACTTTAACCTTTGTACCCAAACCTTTAAACTCCTGTCTATAGATTTCAGTTATTGCTGTTACAGCAAATTTCGAGGGTGAGTAAATATTTGTAGTGGGCACATTACTCATTGCTCCCGGAAAAACATTATGACCAGCTACACTATTAATAAGTACAACATGACCATCAACACTGCGTTCCTTCATCGATTTAAAAGCTCTTTGTGTACAATAGACAATACCCATGACATTTGTTTGCAATACATTTTGTATGTCTTGAACATCCATTGAAACCAATTGGCCAATTTTAGCACAACCAGCATTATTGACAAGTATATCAACACCACCAAATTTGGCAATTATTTCATCGAAAGCCTCATTAACCGATTGCTGATTGGAAACATCACACTTAATGGCAGTCAGCCGAGATTTTTGTTCAGCCGGCAAACTTTCTTTTAGTTCTTCAACACGTTCTTTACGTCTGGCTAAACCTACTACCTGTACGCCTGCCTTAAGCAGATCTATAACAATGGCAGAACCTATACCCGAACTGGCACCGGTAACAACTGCGATTTTATTTTGCCAACGTTCCATTTTCAAAGTTTACGGTTGAATGACTGTTGTGTTTAGTGGAGTGTGGTTTTATTTATATGATTTTTTGAATTGAGTTTTTTTTTTGTAAAATTTCTCTTATACTGAGTGTTATTTATTGTTAAGTTATCTTATATAGGAAAATTGATAAAGAGATTAGATAATGATTGGTAGTCTAGATTTATGTTCGTATTGTTGTTAGTTTGACCGGCTTTTTTTAATATTTATTTTTATTTTGCTCAATTAGCAAAATTATTAAATCAAGTAAAAACAAGTGTTTAATGGTGAAATGATAATGTTTATTTTGACGAAATAATATTAACTAGACAGATTTTATTTTCAATACATCCACCATCGGATCTGCTCTTGAATTGGACTGATTGCAACTCATCATTGATTTCATTCATTTGAATTGCAATTCATTGTTTTAATTCATTTGAATTAATTCAAAACCAATTCGAACGAATTGGAAATTAATTGCAATTTACTTCAACAAATTCATTTGAATTGGAAACAAATTGCAATCTCATTTTACAGATTCACTTGTATGGAAAACGAATTGCAACTAATTTTTACAAATTCTTTTGAATTGGAAATGAATTGAACTTCACTTCTCCCTAATTCGTTTGAATTATTTAAAATTTCAAGCCTTTTCTTTTTTGTTGTGAAATTCGTAACGAATTAAAATCAAAGTCTATATTCGTCTTTGACGAATCTTATATACCCTTTACAATAGTGTTTAAAAAAAAACAATTTTATAAAATTTGAACTTATTTCATTTTTCCGACTCTATCATTACTTTAGCAATAACTAATCAAAACAAACTAACAACAACAACGCCAAACGAAACAGAATACGCAAAGCAATTAAACTAACACACATCCAAACATACGTTTGTTGTTGTTGCTTTTTTTGTCAAAGCATGCAATAAATGGTTTATTGTTTTTTACTCATATCTCCGTTATTTATGGACGAATTTTGCTGATTTTAAATAGGAAACTTCTCGAAAGTATTTCTGACACAATTATTGAATATTTGGATCCCGATAATACCTGGGGCCTTCAGAAAATTGATTCCAACAGACAGACGAACATGGCTTAATTGACTCCGCTATCTATAAGGATCCAGAATATATAAACATATTTTATAGGGTCGGAAAATTATATTGTGGAAATTACAAACGGAATGATAAACTTATATATACCATTCTCACGAAGGTGAGGGGCATAAAAATAATGGTTCATTTACAGTTCTGTTGAAAATTAATCGATTTTCTGTATAAATGGTTATATGGGGACTAGGGTTAATTGTGGATTAATCCTCATTAGGGCAGGTTTTTTACTACTCAGTTCAGTTAGGTTAGTTTAGGTTGATAGTGGATTGTATAGTACATCAAATCTGAAGAAATACACCTAGGCCACTATCGGGCCTGTTGTGCGCTCCTTTTCATGAAAAAAAATTTTGTTCACTGTGTATATTATTTTTCAATGTTCAGAAACTCAGTTTCCTGGACGTAATTCCTAAGAATTTTCTAATCAGTGTTAGTCAGGAATGTTATTTCCGGAATAACATCACTTCCAAGTTGCTTGGATCTAACTTCGACGAATGCTTGACAGTGGCAATGAAAGTGCTCCAGAGTTTCACTGTCCTCTCCACATGCTCTACATTCGTCTGAATCCGCACGGCCAATTTTGTATAGATGTGCTCGTAATCCTGTGTGTCCACTCAGTATACGTACCATCATACTAACTTCAGACTTGCTCATTTTGAGGAGATTACTCGTCTTGTTCTCATCAGGGTCACCCAATAGGATCTTTGTGGTTCTACCCACCGTTTCATTATTTCGAGAGGCCTTATGGGATTCTCTCACCCATATATTTAATTCAGCTTTTTTAACTACTTCGAGCTATTACATTCGCCCTTTCGTTGTCGACTACTCCCGAGTGTCCTGGTACCCATAAGATATAAATCTTACCTGTGGGAGAGTATTCAATTAAAGCTTTCTTACAATCCAATACCGATTTAATTCTATCACCTGATATCGCCCTAATTGCCTTCTGGCAGTCGGTGAATATATTAAGGGCCGTGGGCGCCATTTTTATTCTAATCAAATTTACACATTTCGTTATTGCTCGGACTTCTGCCTTGAAGTTCAACGGACGTACGGATGAGTAAATAAATCTAGAACAAAATTTTTAATATTTTAATGGAAATTGTATGTGAGAATTTAAAATTTTCTAAACAATTTATTTGAAAGAATCAATAAACTTTAATGAAATAACAAAATCTTAGTCATGATGACTATAGATTAGGGTAGTGCAAGTCGCAGTGATTCTTTAAAAAAATATATACTTTGCACTTATTATTTTATTAAAAGATTGAAATATTAAATTTTTATTTATATGTATGTTAAATATTGATGAATTGGCAAAATTATAAATGAAACTTTATTATCATGGTGGGTTAACAACTTCCTAAAAGGGTAGTGAGTGTAATCAACAATTAATTTAAATTTTTTTTTAACAAATGCCACCCTATTTATTTATAATGATTTCTATTTTCTTATCTCTTGATATTGAAAGAAAACAATGACAATTAAAAAATATGTAATTAAAACGTTTAAATCATTTTCGAATAAATTTTAAGTATTAAACTAATAATAAAATTTTTACAATATTTATACAAATAAATTGTAGTTTTTATCTACTAGTAGGTCAGTGTAACTGCAATCTAAACATTTTATATTTTAAATAAAAATAAAATTGCCAACTAACTATATATAGTGTTAATAAAAACCTTAAGGTGTTAAGATCCAAACTAGTTATCTCAAGTTATAAAAAAAAAATAAAATAAAATGGAACGTTGGCAAAATAAAGTAGCTGTTGTGACAGGAGCCAGTTCGGGTATTGGTTCAGCCATTGTTAAGGATCTCATCAATAATGGTTTACAAGTTGTGGGTCTGGCCCGGCGTGTGGAGCGTGTTGAGGAACTTAAAAAGCAATTACCCGTTAAATTACAATCAAAATTAACCGCCCTTAAATGTGATGTTTCCAATTTGAAATCGGTTAATGAAGCATTCGATAAAATTATATCAAAATTTGGTGGTGTAGATATTTTAGTAAATAATGCGGGTTGCATGAAAAATGGCCAACTATGCCAGGGAAATCTAGCGGATATTGAACAGGTTTTACAAACCAATGTTATGGGTGTGGTGTATTGTACCCAGAGAGCTTTTAAATCCATGAAGGAACGTAATTTTGCTGGTCATATTATATTAATTAATAGCATTGCCGGTCATAAAGTCATAGCTGTGGGTAATGAGGTACCAGATCATAACATTTATTCACCTAGCAAATATGCCATTACCGCTATAACAGAGATTTATAGACAAGAATTTAAGGGTTTGGGTACTAAGATTAAAATTACGGTAAGTTTAAAATTACTTAATTAATATGGTATTTTTTTAAAATATATGTTTCTTTTTATAGAGTGTAAGTCCTGGTGCTGTTGACACGGAAATTATTCCCGATAAAATTAAAGAATTAATTGGTGATGCTTTCTTAAAATCGGAAGATATTTCTCAAGGTGTTTTGTATGCCATTTCTACGCCACCACATGTTCAAATTCATGAAATGACTATTAAGCCAGTGGGTGAAATGTTTTAAGAAAAAAAATTTATAATTTGTAAATATTTTATATTAATTGTTTTAAATAAATAAGTCAAACTATTTTATATCGATTTTGATTGATTTCTATTGGTTTCAAGTCCAAGATTTGTATTCAGAACATATCTGGTGTCTTCATAAAACCATACTGATATACATAGTTCTAAAACTTTACTCTTATATCTAACTGAGGGAATGATGGATATCACATTTTAATGAAACTCTTGAATTGAAACAAGTAATACATACATAAATATGGGTAATTTCGTGTCAAGTAACCCAACTTTAAAAATCGATGTCTTTCGATTTGAATGAAATTTGCACCAATGTTAGTACTATTGGATAGTAGGCCAGACACAAATTTTCGACCAAGAACTGCCGGAGTCAGAGGGAGTCAGAATGCAGAAATAGCTATCTGAACTCCTTTGGACAATTTTTGCTAGGGCCAATAGGTTAAAAGTTACACTCATTTGAATAAAACCCTGTGTGACCAAAATGACCAACATTGACTCCCTCTAAGTCCGGCCGTTCTTAACCGATAGATGTGAAAATTTGTGTTTGAACTACTATCCAATAGCACTAACCTTTCATTTCTTCACAATCGATTTTTAAGTTGAGTCACTTGACATGAAATTCCCCATACACACATACATTTATTATATATCGACCCCTTTTCGCAAAAAATACGCAAGCGACAAAAACTAAATTTTACAGGTCTGTATTTTTTTTAATTATCTTAGGACTTATGTTATCGATTTCTATAAAAAACGAAAATCATGTTGCTAACGTTTATTTGGCGAAAAGGTCTATCTCGAAATCGAATAGACTAGCAGCTAAGGTCAAATATGGTCCGATTCAAATAAAATTTGGTGGGGGAATTTATGTTTATATAAAAGTTAATTATGCTGAATTTTACAAGAGATTATTTTTTTAATTATTTATAATAATTAATAAATTATCTATACATAGCATAAAAATAAATTATCGATAAAAAAAAAAAACGAAAATCTGTTGCTTACGTCCATTTTGCGAAAAGGATTCGACTATTTTAGTTTACTGACTATTCTATGAAGTTTACCAATTATTATTTTAGGGACTGGGTTACTGACAAGTTTATTGACTTGTTTATTGAATACTCCTAACACTAGTCTATGGAGTACAGTATTGCCGTAGTTTATTGACAAGTTTATTAACTACTCTACGAATCTAGCAATTGACCGATTGATTATCTATAGCAAATCTAGTCTATGGACTAGTCGACTGGGTATTCAATGAACTAGTTTATCGCCTAGTCTAAGTATATACTAGTTGAATTTTGTATTTAATAAATTCGAAAAATTCGAAAAACTGTTTTTTCTGAAAGAGGCTTTATATGCATGAGGGCTAGAGTCAAATATGGTCCGATTCAAATAAAATTTGGTGGAGGCATTTATGTTTATATAAAAGTTATACTGAATTTGATCGTAATACTGTTGTTTAATTATGAGGTAAATACTTTTAAGTCATTTTCTGAGTGGGGCGAATTTCTATGGTAGTTAAGGTGGAATGAAGCCTATGATTATTTAAGATTTTTTTCTGCCGATTTTGGTACAGAGACTAGCTATAAAGCTATATTCGTGGGTCCGTTTTTATGGGTAAAATGACGGACCGATTCGGATCTGTACCTTTCACACCAGATTTTACATGGACAGCTAGTCAGACAGACGGACATGATGTATGTGGAGGCTCTTGAGTTAAATATGACTCAATGTACCGCACACTTTTAAAAAACAAATATAATTAAAATGCACGAATGTATGTAAACAATATAGTATGTTTAGTAATCAAATAAATTAAAAGTAAAGTAAATATTTATAAAAATATAATAAATGTAGTTTTTTTATCTAATAGTGGGTCAGTGTAACTGCAATCTAATCATTATTTAAAATAAAAAAATTTTCACAAACGATATAGTGTTTATAAAAACGTTAAGGTGTTAAGACCCAAATTATCTTTAGTTGAAAAAAAAAAAGAATTAAAAACTGAAATGCAATGTTTGCAAAATAAAATAGCTGTTGCACTGTGGTTTAAAAACGTGGTTTTCTGAAAATAAAACGATATTTCGTGAATTTTTAAACATATCGTAACGAAATGTTATACTTTCGGAGCTAAGGTATTTTCGAGTTGTTTTACTTTAGAGGGGTCTGTAGGTTGGCTTCCCTATATAAGCCACGCACTAGAACATGTGAACTATAAATGTAGTTCATATTTTTGACCTTTCGAAAAACTTTCTATAAGTAGTTAAAGTTTAGTTTTATTCGGAATATAAGTTTAGATCATGAGCTGACAGAGTGACTTACTACTTCCCTACATATTTATTTATAATGATTCTTAAGTAGTTCTTATCTATAGATATTGGAAGCCCACAATATGTAGTTTATTTTCAAATAAATTTAAAGTATAGAAATTATGTAATAATCAAATGTTACAATATTTATATAAATAAAATGTAGTTTTAGTTATCAAATAGTGAGTCAGGGTAACTGCATAAATAAATAGAAATTTTCAAAATATTGAATAGTTTTTACGAAAACGTTCAGGTGTTAGGTAGAGTTCTATAACAAGCTATTAAATGGAACGTTGGCAAAATAAACTAGCAGTTGTTACAGGAGCCAGTTCGGGTATTGGTTCGGCCATTGTTAAGGATCTTCTCAACAATGGTTTACAAGTTGTGGGTTTGGCACGACGTGTAGAGCGTGTTGAAGAACTTAAGGCACAATTACCCGTCAAATTACAGTCGAAATTAACTGCTCTTAAATGTGATGTGTCCAATTTGAAATCGGTTAACGATGCATTCGATAAAATCATTTCACAATTTGGTGGTGTAGATATTTTAGTAAATAATGCTGGTTGCATGAAAAATGGTAAATTATGTGCCGGAAATCTCAAGGATATCGAACAAGTTTTACAAACAAATGTCATGGGTGTGGTGTATTGTACCCAAAGAGTTTTTAAATCCATGAAAGAACGTAATTTTGATGGTCATATAATATTAATTAACAGCATTGCCGGTCATAGGGTTAAAAATGTTGGAAATGCAGCTCCCGATAATAATATTTATGCACCCAGTAAATTTGCTATTACCGCTATAACAGAGATTTATAGACAAGAATTTAAGGGATTTGGCACTAAGATAAAAATTACGGTAAGTTTGGAAGATTTCTTAAATAAGGAATTTTAGTTGACTGTCATTATTTTATTTTAATAGAGTGTTAGTCCTGGCGCTGTTAATACCGAACTTATTCCCGATGATATTAAGCAGTTAATTGGTGATACTTTTTTAAAACCTGAAGATATTTCTCAAGGAGTTGTGTTTGCCATTTCCACACCACCACATGTTCAAATTCATGAAATGACTATTAAGCCAGTGGGTGAAATCTTTTAAGAGGATCTAGTTTTTGTAATTAATATTTGTAAATATTGGTATTAATTCGTTTACATATTTCAAAATTTAAAAATGTGTTTTCAATGATTTTGAATTCAGGATAAATTGTATAATAAAATTAATGGATTTATTTTCAAAACTGCTACCAGTTTTTTTTTTGACGAAGAAGCTAAGGTCAAATATTTATATCGTGAAAGGTTAAATTCGTAGATTTTTGAGTTAGTTAGTAAGATAGATAGATAGATAGATAGCTAGATAGATGATAGAAGATAGATAGAAGATAGATAGATAGATAGATAGATAGATAGATAGATAGATAGATAGATAAGATAGATAGATAGATAGATAGATAGATAGATAGATAGATAGATAGATAGATAGATAGATAGATAGATAGATAGATAGATAGAAGATAGATAGATAGATAGATAGATAGATAGATAGATAGATAGATAGATAGATAGATAGGATAGATAGATAGATAGATGATAGATAGATAGATAGATAGATAGATAGAGATAAGATAGATAGATAGATAGATAGATAGATAGATAGATAGATAGATAGATAGATAGATAGAGATAGATAGATAGATAGATAGATAGATAGATGATGATAGATAGATAGATAGAAGATAGATAGATAGATAGATAGATAGATAGATAGATAGCTAGATAGTAAGATAAGATAGATAGATAGATAGATAGATAGATAGATAGTAGATAGATAGATAGATAGATAGATAGATAGATAGATAGATAGATAGATAGATAGATAGATAGATGATAGATAGATAGATAGAAGATAGATAGATAGATAGATAGATAGATAGATAGATAAGATAGATAGATAGATAGATAGATAGATAGATAGATAGATAGATAGATAGAAGATAGATAGATAAGATAGATAGATAGATAGATAGATAGATAGATAGATAGATAGATAGATAGATAGATAGATAGATAGATAGATAGATAGATAGATAGATAGATAGATAGATAGATAGATAGATAGATAGATAGATAGATAGATAGATAGATAGATAGTAGATAGATAGATAGATAGATAGATAGATAGATAGATAATAGATAGATATAGATAGATAGATAGATAGATAGAAGATAGATAGATAGATAGATAGATAGATAGATAGATAGATAGATAGATAGATAGATAGATAGATAGATAGATAGATAGATAGATAGATAGATAGATAGATAGATAGATAGATAGATAGATAGATAGATAGATAGATAGATAGATAGATAGATAGATAGATAGATAGATAGATAGATAGATAGATAGATAGATAGATAGATAGATAGATAGATAGATAGATAGATAGATAGATAGATAGATAGATAGATAGATAGATAGATAGATAGATAGAAGATAGATAGATAGATAGATAGATAGATAGATAGATAGATAGATAGATAGATAGATAGATAGATAGATAGATAGATAGATAGATAGATAGATAGATAGATAGATAGATAGATAGATAGATAGATAGATAGATAGATAGATAGATAGATAGATAGTAGATAGATAGATAGATAGATAGATAGATAGATAGATAGATAGATAGATAGATAGATAGATAGATAGATAGATAGATAGATAGATAGATAGATAGATAGATAGATAGATAGATAGATAGATAGATAGATAGATAGATAGATAGATAGATAGATAGATAGATAGATAGATAGATAGATAGATAGATAGATAGATAGATAGATAGATAGATAGATAGATAGATAGATAGATAGATAGATAGATAGATAGATAGATAGATAGATAGATAGATAGATAGATAGATAGATAGATAGATAGATAGATAGATAGATAGATAGATAGATAGATAGATAGATAGATAGATAGATAGATAGATAGATAGATAGATAGATAGATAGATAGATAGATAGATAGATAGATAGATAGATAGATAGATAGATAGATAGATAGATAGATAGATAGATAGATAGATAGATAGATAGATAGATAGATAGATAGATAGATAGATAGATAGATAGATAGATAGATAGATAGATAGATAGATAGATAAGTAGTTATTTCAAATAACTACCCAGCAAAAACTGGGTAATGGCTTTCAGTTGTAATTACTTACCTATCAATATACTTTTCAATGACTACTAGATATCGTTTGGATTACATAGAAGTAGTCTGATAATGTCTTACTAATAATGTGTTATATAAGTAATTTATAATTCAGTAGTAATCTTGCCAGTAAAGATATAGAAGCTGTATACGTTTTTTTCATGCGATTTACAATGACTACTATTTCTAATTACTTGTAATCGTTTGTGGTAAGTACTTGCCTCCAATGACATGACAATGTTAAAATAATGACTTAAAATGCTATTGTGTAAGTGAATTTTAGCATTTTAATCCCTTACATGGTAATGAAAGTTTTTACTGGGTATATTACTTATTACGAAAATTTAAACTTTTGCTAGGTTGTTTTAAAAATAATTAAACAATTCATTTGTGTCAACTATTTATATAGATATGGATCTTTTAATTTCGAAATTTGCGGGTCATCTTCACAGTATTCGGAATATGAAGTACTACCTTAATATTTATTGATATAATGAATTGTATTTATTGCTTATCTTTAGATAATGAAAACCAACTATGACGATTAAGTTTACAACAAAATAATCAATAAACTTCAAACTAAACAAAATTATACCAAATTTTATATTCGTTTAACTAAAATGTATTGGTTTTGTTTTTTTTTATCTAATAGCGGGTCCGTCAGTATGACTGGCAAATAAAGTATGTAGTCATTATAGTAATTTTTTCTAACAAAATTATTTGTGTTTATAAAAAAGAGAGTAGTTTTTATAAAAAATTCAGTAGTATTTAATCAGACGTCAAGGTGTAAAGAACGTATATAATATTAATAAAACTTTAAAATAAAATATAATGGAACGCTGGCAAAATAAAGTAGCTGTTGTAACCGGGGCCAGTTCAGGCATTGGTTCAGCCATAGTTAAAGATCTTATCAACAATGGTTTACAAGTTGTTGGTCTGGCAAGACGTGTGGATAGAGTTGAGGATATAAAAGCACAATTACCAGTTAAACTACAATCAAAATTAACCGCTATTAAATGTGACGTTTCCGATGTGAAATCTGTTAATGACGCATTCGATAAAATCATCTCGCTCTTTGGTGGTGTTGATATATTAGTAAATAATGCTGGTTGTTTAACAAGTGGTCAGCTGTGTACAGCTGATGTTGATAAGATACAACAGGTTTTACAGACAAATGTCATGGGCGTAGTTTATTGTACTCAGCGTGCTTTTAAATCGATGAAAGAGCGTAATTTTGATGGTCATGTTGTTTTAATCAATAGTATTGCCGGTCATAATGTGATAGCTTTAGGAGATCAAGCACCAGATGGTAATATTTATTCTCCTAGTAAATATGCTATTACCGCCATAACAGAAATCTATCGTCAAGAATTTAAAGGTTTAGGCACTAAGATTAAAGTAACGGTAAGTTTAAAGGTTTTCTATTTTAAATAACATTTTTCTTGAATTATTTTTGTTCTATTTTTCTAGAGTGTTAGTCCCGGTGCTGTTGACACTGAAATTGTTCCCGATAATATTAAAGAGTTTCTAGGTGAATGCTTACTTAAAGCTGAAGATATTTCTGCTGGTGTTTTGTATGCCATTTCTACACCACCCCATGTTCAAATTCATGAAATGACTATAAAACCAGTGGGTGAATTATTTTAAGAGAATTAGTAAAATTTTTTTAAATGTATTAAGTTTAGATAATTTGCAGTATATTGCTCTTAATAATAAATAAAAAAAGCAAAGAATATGGATTCACTTTTTTTGATCAAAGCTATGTATGGGACTACTTCCCATATGATTTATAAATGTTATTGATTTTAAATATTTAAAATTTTTTAAGTAGAAAATATCTAAATCTGCAAAACACAAAATTGCATTTTTAGTTTTTATTTATGTAAAGTAAAGAATAATTTATTATTTATCCTTCTTACTTATGTACTTATAAAAAAAACTAATAACATATTAGTATTGTAATATTGTTCATCTACTTCAATCTTGTCCTAATTCAAAATTCGGATTTATTAAAGAGAATTATAAAACTTAAAACAACAATACATATTACAATTATACTAAGTAGAATTAGAACAGAATTAGAAATAAACTAGAACTAATTTAGAACTGAATTTGAACAAAGCTAGAAATCTACTGAACTAAAACTGAACTGAACTAGAACTGAACTAGAACTGAACTAGAACTGAACTAGAACTGAACTAGAACTGAACTAGAACTGAACTAGAACTGAACTAGAACTGAACTAGAACTGAACTAGAACTGAACTAGAACTGAACTAGAACTGAACTAGAACTGAACTAGAACTGAACTAGAACTGAACTAGAACTGAACTAGAACTGAACTAGAACTGAACTAGAACTGAACTAGAACTGAACTAGAACTGAACTAGAACTGAACTAGAACTGAACTAGAACTGAACTAGAACTGAACTAGAACTGAACTAGAACTGAACTAGAACTGAACTAGAACTGAACTAGAACTGAACTAGAACTGAACTAGAACTGAACTAGAACTGAACTAGAACTGAACTAGAACTGAACTAGAACTGAACTAGAACTGAACTAGAACTGAACTAGAACTGAACTAGAACTGAACTAGAACTGAACTAGAACTGAACTAGAACTGAAATAGAACTGAACTAGAACTGAAGTAGAACTGAACTAGAACTGAACTAGAACTGAACTAGAACTGAAATAGAACTGAACTAGAACTGAACTAGAATTGTACTAGAACTGAACTAGAACTGAACTAGAACTGAACTAGAACTGAACTAGAACTGAACTAGAACTGAACTAGAACTGAACTAGAACTGAACAAGAACTGAACAAGAACTGAACTAGAACTGAACTAGAACTGAACTAGAACTGAACTAGAACTGAACTAGAACTGAACTAGAACTGAACTAGAACTGAACTAGAACTGAACTAGAACTGAACTAGAACTGAACTAGAACTGAACTAGAACTGAACTAGAACTGAACTAGAACTGAACTAGAAACTGAACTGAACTAGAACTGAACTAGAACTAAACTAGAACTGAACTAGAACTGATCTAGAACTGAACGAACTGAACTAGAACTGAAAAAAACTAGAACTGAACTAGAACTGAACTAGAACTGAACTAGAACTGAACTAGAACTGAACTAGAACTGAACTAGAACTGAACTAGAACTGAACTAGAACTGAACTAGAACTGAACTAGAACTGAACTAGAACTGAACTAGAACTGAACTAGAACTGAACTAGAACTGAACTAGAACTGAACTAGAAACTGAACTAGAACTGAACTAGAACTGAACTAGAACTGAACTAGAACTGAACTAGAACTGAACTAGAACTGAACTAGAACTGAACTAGAACTGAACTGAACTGAAACTAGACTGACTAGAACTGAACTAGAACTGAACTAGAACTGAACTAGAACTGAACTAGAACTGAACTAGAACTGAACTAGAACTGAACTAGAACGAACTGAACTGAACTAGAACTGAACTAGAACTGAACTAGAACTGAACTAGAACTAACTAGAACTGAACTAGAACTGAACTAGAATTACTAGAACTGAACTAGAACTGAACTGAACCTGAACTAGAACTGACTAGAACTGAACTAGAACTGAACTAGAACTGAACTAGAACTGAACTAGAACTGAACTAGAACTGAACTAGAAACTGAACAGAACTGAACTAGAACTGAACTAGAACTGAACTAGAACTGAACTAGAACTGAACTAGACTGAACTAGAACTGAACTAGAACTGAACTAGAACTGAACTAGAACTGAACTAGAACTGAACTAGAACTGAACTAGAACTGAACTAGAACTGAACTAGAACTGAACTAGGACTGAACTGACTGAATAGAACTGAAATAGAACTGAAATAGTAACTGACTAGAATGTAACTAGAACGAAAACTAAGAACTGAACTAGAACTGAACTAGAACTGAACTAGAACTGAACTAGAACTGAACTAGAACTTGAACTAGAACTGAAGAATGAACTAGAACTGAACAGAACTGAACTAGAACTAGAACTAGACTGAACAAGAACTGAACTAGAACTGAACTAGAACTGTTCTATAAAATTAATTTCTAATTTTTCGATTTAATACATTATTGTAATAAATGAGCGATATTAGTTTATTTATTTTTTGCATATTTACTCATTCAAGCATTTAACTAGATTTTTCCCTAAAGTATTTATATTGGGTACCAGTGTGTTATGGTGACTAGAGACTACCGACTGACCTTGGGTTGAAAATGGGGGTAAGAAAAAAATAATCAAACACATACCAATATACATATTTTCATACGCACAATAGGGTGACTGCATTAGTTGAAAGTAAAAGGATTTAAGGTTTTTAATATTTAAGAATAATCTAGAGATAAAGTATTCCAGGAAATCTTGAATAAATCGGGTAATGTCTATAAAGTGAAGTATTAATTGATAACGCTCAACAACCATTGTTGGTGCCCACCTAACTTCGACATGAATTTATTTTCTACTCAACTCTAAAATATTTATTTATTTATGTTTATAAGGAAAATATTTGCTATTTTATCTAAGTATAAACGAGTAAGTATATTGAAAATGTTATTTCAGTTTGCTTAAATATGTTTGTATGTATAAAGTTTATATTTAATGTGAATGTATTTAGTTTCTTCTTTATTTTGCTAAATACTTGTGTGTATCATGGTTATTTGAACAAAATATTTGAAATTTCTCTTGATTTTCATTTTAAAATTAAGTTTAATATATTAAAGAACTACTTAAAAATAAATTTCATTTAACAGGACATAGAATCCTTTTAAAGTAACTAAATAACATTGAATTGTTGTTATAGTTATTTATGGTCTATTTGAGGAAAATTATTTAGCAAAGGATGAAATTTTTGCATTGATTAAAGAAATTTGAGTGAAGTTTTTAATTAGTATAAAATGTCTTTGATGTTTCAGGTAAGTGAGAGATATGAAGACAAGTTATGGGAGTCATGTGGATTTCGTTTTCAAAGTTAATATAAAAGGTGGACGATTATGCACAAAAATCGGGGTATAGTCGACCGCTAAACTGAGATGTCCCAAACGGAGGAGGATGAAAGGCCCTCTCAGTATGAGAAAGTCCAAGGTTAATATAATGATACGTACTCTGGGAGAAAACACAGGATCAGAGGAATATTGAGCATGTAGATAGGACAGTTAAACAGTGGCCATAATATGGCGTACAGCGGTCAAGGTATATTTCTTTGGAAGTCCTTTTAAACTTAACATGACCATAATTGTAACAGCAACAATTGTGCAGATATATAGTTGAGAGTTACGAAAATAACTTTAAATATACTCATAGATGGAATAATAAATCTGTATATTAATTAGCAAATATTAAAATTTTGTTAGAAATATTTTCTATACTAATTTTATATTAATTTTGATATATGAATTTTCATTATATTTGATATATGAATTAGCACGATTTTATTTATGGTGTTATTTTACTAAATTTAGTTTTAGTAATTTATTAACATAACCTACATAATAGCTATTTTGTTAACAAAACTTAACAATATTTCCCAGCAATTAAATACAGATTTTCCGTACACATATGAGCACGCCCATTAGTCAAACCCCACACTTAAATGCACTTATGAAACGTTTAAGAAATACATTCTAGAAACGTATTTATGACTTGAATTTCTACTTGATTTTATTACTACAACTCTAGTGACCAAAAACAATTATTTGCCAAATTCGTAAAGCAAATAATGCATCAAGTATTTTTTATTGATTAACCAGCCCAGGCCGAGGACAATTGTTACGAGAAAAAAAGTCAAAGGAAAATAACGTTACGACACATTCTTTTGTATTGTTTGATATTTTATTGTCTAAGCTTTCGACCATAAATGTTTCAGAAAATATTAACTTCCACATAAATTTCTAAAGAGTCTATTATTATTGGTCGCATATACATTCACAATACCAAAAATCACCCCCGCCAACTCCCACTTGAGGTCTCACAAGTACATGGGAAAAATTTACGATTTCTTACAATTTTAATACAATACAATCTGAGTATTCGTTGTACAATAGATGGGTCCTGCATTTTATTGGTAAACCTTATAAATACATTTACAGTTACATACGCACATACATACAAAAAATATTTAGATGTGAGTACGAATGTGTATAAGTGTATTTATGTTGGACAGTTGTTATTATTTTCAGATGGCATTCTTATGTGGAGGACAGTGGTATCGAAAAAGTATTTCGAAATGATAGGGGCTGGAGCAGTTATGATTTTATAATTACTAGAACTGAACTAGAACTGAACTAGAACTGAACTAGAACTGAACTAGAACTGAACTAGAACTGAACTAGAACTGAACTAGAACTGAACTAGAACTGAACTAGAACTGAACTAGAACTGAACTAGAACTGAACTAGAACTGAACTAGAACTGAACTAGAACTGAACTAGAACTGAACTAGAACTGAACTAGAACTGAACTAGAACTGAACTAGAATAACTAGAACTGAACTAGAAACTGAACTAGAACTGAACTAAACTGAACCTATAACTGAACTAGAACTGAACTAGAACTGAACTAGAACTGAACTAGAACTGAACTAGAACTGAACTAGAACTGAACTAGAACTGAACTAGAACTGAACTAGAACTGAACTAGAAATGAACTAGAACTGAACTAGAACTGAACTAGAAACTGAACTAGAACTGAACTAGAACTTAAACTAGAACTGAAACTAGAACTGAACTAGAACTGAACTAGAACTGAACTAGAACTGAACTAGAACTGAACTAGAACTGAACTAGAACTGAACTAGAACTGAACTAGAACTGAACTAGAACTGAACTAGAACTGAACTAGAAACTGAACTAGAACTGAACTAGAACTGAACTAGAACTGAACTAGAACTGAACTAGAAACTGAACTAGAACTGAACTAGAACTGAACTAGAACTGAACTAGAACTGAACTAGAACTGAACTGAACTGAACTAGATCTGAACTAGAACTGAACTAGAACTGAACTAGAACTGAACTAGAACAGAACTAGAACTGAACTAGAACTGAACTAGAACTGAACTAGAACTGAACTAGAACTGAACTAGAACTGAACTAGAAACTGAACTAGAACTGAACTAGAACTGAACTAGAACTGAACTAGAACTGAACTAGAACTGAACTAGAACTGAACTAGAACTGAACTAGAACTGAACTAGAACTGAACTAGAACTGAACTAGAACTGAACTAGAACTGAACTAGAACTGAACTAGAACTGAACTAGAACTGAACTAGAACTGAACTAGAACTGAACTAGAACTGAACTAGAACTGAACTAGAACTGAACTAGAACTGAACTAGAACTGAACCAGAACTGAACTAGAACTAAATTAGAACTAACCTAGAACTGAACAATATACTTAGATCTGGTAATACTTTTACTTGTTTATAAATTATTGCTTTTTAAGTCCCACTGTTTATTGTTGCTAGAAAACGACTTTATTAAATGTCATCTAAAGCAATGATTTCCTAAATTAACCCGAAAGTATGGCCGAATATAATAACTATAATAATACGTATAAGAAGAAGTAAAATCAAGAAGCAAAAACCGAAAATAAAATATTTTCTGTAGCATATTTAAGCTTTTTTCCAAAAGAACCTTTTTCCTGTTAAATGCTTAAGAAATGCCACAACATGTGTGACAACCGGATATACATACAACTAGAGATGTACACATAAAGAGGAGTGTCAAATTGTTAGTGTATGTGTGTGTTGAGTAAAATTAAAGGACATTTTTATTGTTTCTTTCATTAGAAATTATGGTTTACATTGTAATAAGTATGTGGAAGCCTCTAAGAATGTATGTCCTTTTCTAAGATCCTATTTGCAATTTATTGTTTTTTTCTAACTTATGTATAAATAATTTCCGTTGCCAAATGTGCCATAATAATGATATACTTAATGAAAAAACAACAAAATGTAAGCAATTTATCTGTACTTTGTATGTACGAGTGTTAAATAACTATTTAAGTCTTGAGAGGAATTTTAAGTTTCTGAAGTCTTTTAGAGAAACTTGAAGGATTTTGGTACCTTTGACATTTAAAAACTTAACATCCTGTTTAGATAGCATCAGTCCAGATTTCCAACATTTTGGATTGAGTTTTAATTTAACCATGAAAGTTTTTCCAATTGGTTTACATATTTTAAACTTAATATGAGCTATAATACTAATATGGTTTACAAGATATCAACATGTTATTATTTTCGTCTTCTTTCGTATATTTGCTGTCATTTTCGTTTTAGTATAACACATTTCCATAATCGATAGTAATTTGAATTTATTTAAGTTATAAAATAATATTTAAGTTGTAAATAATATTCCCTTAACAATAACGCACATCATGTTTGTTATTTTCAGTTGTTTGTAAAGACGTCTTAAATTTTAACGCCCCTTTCTTCATAAACGTTTTCATTTCATTTTATTTCATTTTTTGTTTTTGTAAATTTTTTTGACAATATGTTTGTTTGACATTTAAAGGAAAAATACATTACATTTTCTGCACACATTGCAAAAACCAAAAAAAAAAGAACATATTATTAAGTATATGTATTCAAGTAAATTTGAATGACGGCATATATAAATAAAGCTTGTTTATGTACATTTTATATTCATTTTAAAATTCGCTTTTACTTCCTATACTTTCTTTTAAAGTAATCTTTCGCGTTTACTTTTTATGTTTTTTTGGTTTCTTTGTAAAATACACCACCAGACTTACATATTTTCGTTAATGGTAGTACGGGCTGCTAAGCATCAACAATATTCACTCTGACATAGATTTAAATGGCCTGACTTGGTGAATTTTAAATAAATGCGGGGTCCCTAATCACAGCCACAATATAATTGTGTTAACAAATGTTTGTTGCCGTTTCCTTATTGTTATACATTTCTTTTTTTCATATAATATTTTGTTTTATATCACTTTACAAGTTATATTTGTTTAGTTTCCATTGTTGGTGGTATTTTTCTAGAGATGCAAGATTTGAAGGCATAAGTCGAATATGTTGCTAATAATTGGTGCATAAAGACAGAGATAGATGATTTTGGTGACCGATTCAGTTTTCCGAAAAGCAGATGTTCGGAGATTATGGAAAAAGGGAACCTCTTAGCACAACCGAATAGCGACCCGATCTATCGAGCGATGCGAGCGAGCGAGCGAGGAGAGCGAGCGAGCGAGCGAGCGAGCGAGCGAGCGAGCGAGCGAGCGAGGCGAGCGAGCGAGCGAGGCGAGCGAGCGAGCGAGCGAGCGAGCGAGCGAGCGAGCAGCGAGCTAGCGAGCGAGCGAGCGAGCGAGCGAGCGAGCGAGCGAGAGAGCGAGCGAGCAGCGAGCGAGCGAGCGAGCGAGCGAGCGAGCGAGCGAGCGAGCGAGCGAGCGAGCGAGGCGAGCGAGCGAGCGAGCGAGCGAGCGAGCGAGCGACGAGCGAGGAGCGAGCGAGCGAGCGAGCGAGAGCGAGAGCGAGAGGCGAGCGAGAGCGAGCGAGCGAGCGAGCGAGAGCGAGCGACGAGCGAGCGAGGAGCGAGCGAGCGAGCGAGCGAGCGAGGCGAGCGAGCGAGCGAGCGAGCGAGCGAGCGAGCGAGCGAGCGAGCGAGCGAGCGAGCGAGCGAGCGAGCGAGCGAGCAGCGAGAGCGAGAGAGCGAGCGAGGAGCGAGAAGCGAGCGAGCGAGCAGCGAGCGAGCGAGCGAGCGAGCAGCGAGCGAGCGAGCGAGGAGCGAGCGAGCGAGCGAGCGAGCAGCGAGAGAGCGAGCGAGCGAGCGAGCGAGCGAGCGAGCGAGCGAGCGAGCGAGCGAGCGAGCGAGCGAGCGAGCGAGCGAGCGAGCGAGAGCGAGCGAGCGAGAGCGAGCGAGAGAGCGCGAGCGAGCGAGCGAGCGAGCGAGCGAGCGAGCGAGCGAGCGAGCGAGCGAGCGAGCGAGCGAGCGAGCTAGCGAGCGAGCGAGCGAGCGAGCGAGCGGAGCTATCATCTATCTAGGATCTATCTATCTATCGAGTTCTTTATCGATCTATCTATCTATCTATCTATCTATCTATCTATCTATCTATCTATCTATCTATCTATCTATCTATCTATCTATCTATATATCTATCTATCTATCTATCTATCTATCTATCTATCTATCTATCTATCTATCTATCTATCTATCTATCTATCTATCTATCTATCTATCTATCTATCTATCTATCTATAACTATTTTTAATCGCCTATCGACATGCAATTTTACAACTATGCTGTAGGGTTACACAACATTTATGTATTTGTAATAAAAAGCTTAGATAATTTATTATCATACCCAATGAATTCACGTAAAAATAAATTTGCTCATTTTTATTTCACTTTTTTTTTTAAACTTCATATTTATTTGTAACCGGGGGATTTTGTTCGTTTCAAGTTTCATTACGTTTGGTTTGTTTACTGTTAAGCTTAATGGCGGCAACGTTTATTAAAGCAGCTTGTTAATATTCTAAGAACATATAAACAAAAGAAACTTTTTAAAATATATATTTTTCAAATAATAGATTATATTTGTCTATATTATTTAATTTAAAAAATAGTTAACTGAACCACGATTAACAAACTAATGACAAATTGGAAACATAATAATAATTTGATTTTGTATTTGTAAGGAATTTATAAATCAAAACATTTCCCCAACTGGTTTAATAGTCATTTCATGTATTTGAACATGAGGTGGTGTGGAGAGCACGTATACAACTCCTTGTGCTATATCCTCTGGTTTTAACATAGCTGCCACAGTATGTTTCATGCTATCGGGTATAATTTCAGTTTCAGTAGCACCAGGACTTATGCTCTACAAAATAACCATACAAATCGATAAAGAATTTTAAAAACAAATCTTTAACTGAACTTACAGTTATTTTTATTCTAGTACCCAATCCCTTAAATTCCTGCCTGTAAATTTCTGTTATGGCTGTGATGGCAAACTTAGAAGGTGCATATATATTATTGTCGGGTAAGTAATTGGGTAAACATCTAACACGATGTCCCGATATACTATTAAGCAATATAACATGACCATCAAAATTGCGTTCCTTCATTGATTTAAAAGCTCTCTGGGTGCAATATACTACACCCATAACATTGGTTTGTAAAACTTTTTGTATTTCTTCAGGATTTCCTGTAGATAATTTTCCCTTACTCATGCAGCCAGCATTATTGACTAAAATATCAACTCCACCATAAAGGGAGATGATTTGATCGAAAGCTTTATTAACCGATTTCCAACTGGATACATCACATTGTAAAGCCGTTAGTTTGGATTGTAAATTTACGGGCAATTGTTGTTTTATATCGTTTACTCTCTCAACTCTTCGAGCCAGACCCACAACTTGTAAACCGTTTTTGACGAGATCTCTAACAATAGCAGCTCCTATACCTGAACTGGCTCCTGTAACTACTGCCACTTTATTTTGCCAACGTTCCATGATTTATTTTTTTAGTTATTAATAGTTTGAACGTTTTTTTAATACTGTCGAATTTTAAGTATTTTTACAAAATATTATATTATTTTTATTATTTCATTTGTTTATTACTTATCTGTAGGTCATGAAAGTATTCTTAAAGATAAGGTACTTTTGATTATAATTGTGCAGGTACATACGTACATACATATGTTTGTATAAAGTATTATAAATATTCTTTTTATAGAACATAAATAAATTTTTTTTTATAGAAAATTTTCGATTACTTTTCTTTTTATAGAAAATTTTGATTAATTTTCTTTTTATAGAATAGCATTTATAGGTAATTTATTGTAATTTTTTTTTTTTTTAATGTTGAAATGATTTGTTAATAAGGAGTAATTTGTTAATGATATTTAACTGAGTGATTTAAATTTTTTTGTTGGTAATTGTTTTCAAATACTTAAAACTCTATAATTATTGATATATATGCGTTGAATAACTTGTTTAAATGATACCTTGTCCATATGCTTGTTGATTTCTATTTGTATTAACTTTAAATTTAGTATTTTTTTTTTTTTTGCTTTAAAAAAGACTGCTTGTTAGATTTTATTTATATACACCATTAAATATAAAATTTACATATACTTCATTCAGCTCATCTCATTATATGCTAAAATGTCCTATATTATTATTATAATTATTTTTTTTACATTTTTTTAACTTTAATTTATATTCTTTATTTATTTACTTTTATTATTATTGTTATTTTATTAAAATTGAATGTTGTCTAATTAAGTAGTGTTATTGGATCCGATTATGGCCTTTGGCTAGGATTCTGTATAAGAATGAATAAACTAAACTAAAATTTTCGATGAATTTTCTTTTTATAGGAAATTTTCGAGGAATTTTCTTTTTATTGGAAATTTTCGAGTAATTTTTTTTTATAGAAAATTTTCGATAAATGTTCTTTTTATAGAAATTTTCGAGGAATTTTCTTTTTATAGGAAATTTTCGAGGAATTTTCTTTTTATTGGAAATTTTCGAGTAATTTTCTTTTTATAGAAAATTTTCGAGGAATTTAGTTTTATAGAAAATTTTTGAGGTATATACTTTTAAAGAAAATTTTCGATTAATTTTCATTTGGTAGAAAATTTTCGAATTATTTTCTTTTTATAGAAAATTTTCGAGGAATATTCTTCTAACATTTGTGTTTAACTGTATTTATGAAAGAAATTAAAAAAAATTTCTGTTTATGAAACTTAAACAAATTTTGAGATATAGAAACTTAATACTATCAAAAGTTTATCTATTCATCTTCTTACTTTTTTTTACTCTTTTAAATTAAATTGAAAAATAGAAAGAAAAACTTCTAATTGCATTAAGTGTTCAGTAACAAGTTGTATGTGGCGTCTTGTGGTTGTGTTGCAAAAAACCATATCTCTCATGGTTTGTTTTTCTTTTCAATTCTAAATTTCAATTTCATTAAAACTCAGTTGTTGTATGTTTAGCAAAAAAAAAAAAGAAATTTAATTATTTTTTACGTTAATTTATGTTTTGTGTATGTCGGTCTGTCTGTCCATCTATCTGTAACATTAGTTAAGTGCAACTGCTGTGTGGATGTCAGTGTTGTCGTTGTTTGCATCCGTCCAACAAAACTAAACAATGGCTGGCACATTTGCCATCTTTTTCAACAGGAAACTTAAGAAACAAGACAACATTATTTATCTTTATTTACCTTAACGATGAATAGCTTGGGAATGAATAGTGGCCAAATACACGCCCTCTTAATTTATAAGCATTGCATTAGTGAATTGTTGAGGATGCACTTGGAAAAATTTACAAAATTTTATATGAAATAAATTGGAATGTTTTAAATTAAAAGTGAAGTTTTTTTTATTAAATGACCACGATCCTTAATCATATTAACCCCTAATCCTTTTTATGGTTTTCTATAGTTAATATATTTTTTACATTTCTGTTTAATTTTAGTTTTTTTTTTATAATTTAATGAGTGTATTTACGCACGTAGAAGGAAGGATGTCAGCAGAATCCTCTTCCAACAATGACAACAATGTTATAAAATGTTTAGATGTTTTTCCCCGGGATGAAGATGAAAAACGAAAAAAAAAACTACGAAATGTAACACCATAAAAATTAGAAAAAAATTGAATAACAAGTAAGTAGTAAAAGAGGGTCGTGACCGATCACAGAGTATCTTACAGCAATGTTCTAAATACGCAGGATAATGTAATGATTTGATTCGTAGATACTTATGACAAAAAAAATAATGGAAAATTTTCCATAAAAATTTTTGATAAGTTTTCTTTTTACAGAAAATTTTCGATAAATTTTCTTTTTAAAGGAAATTTTTTTATATTTATTTTTTTATTTTATTTTATAAAAATTTTCTATAAATTTTCTTTTCAAGAAAATTTTCGATAAATTTTCTTCTTATAGAAAATTTTCGATAAATTTTCTTCTTATGGAAAATTTTCGATAAGTTTTCTTTTGATAGAAAATTTTCGATGAGTTTTCTTTTGATATAAAATTTTCGATGAGTTTTCTTTTGATATAAAATTTTCGATAAATTCTCTTTTTATAGAAAATTTTCGATAAATTCTCTTTTTATAGAAAATTTTCGATAAATTCTCTTTTTATAGAAAATTTTCGATAAATTCTCTTTTTATAGAAAATTTTCGATAAATTCTCTTTTCATAGAAAATTTTCGATAAATTCTCTTTTTATAGAAAATTTTCGATAAATTCTATTTTTGTACAAAATTTGCGATAAATTCTATTTTTGTACAAAATTTGCGATAAATTATCTTATTATACAAAATTTTCGATAAATTATCTTTTTATACAATATAATTCTCTTTTATAGAAAATTTTCGATAAATTCTCTTTTTATAGAAAATTTTCGATAAATTCTCTTTTTATAGAAAATTTTCGATAAATTCTTTTTTTATAGAAAATTTTCGATAAATTCTCTTTTTATAGAAAATTTTCGACAAATTCTCTTTTTATAGAAAATTTTCGACAAATTCTCTTTTTCTACAAAATTGTCGATAAATTCTCTTTTTATACAAAATTGTCGATAAATTCTCTTTTTAAAGAAAATCTTCAATGAATTCTCTTTTTATAGAAAATCCTTGATAAATTCTCTTTTTAAAGAAAATCCTTGAAAATTTCTCTTTTTATAGAAAATCTTCGATGAATTCTCTTTTTATAAAAAATCTTCGATAAATTCTCTTTTTATAGAAAATCTTCGATGAATTCTCTTTTTATAGAAAATTTTCGATAAATTCCGTTTTTTTTGAAAATCTTCGATAAATTCTCTTTTTATAGAAAATTTCCGATAAATTCTCTTTTTATAGAAAATTTTCGATAAATTTATTTTTTATAGAAATTTTCGATAAAGTGCATTTTTTTATAGAAAATTTTCGATAAATTTCCATTTTTGATATAAAATTTTTCGATAAATTTCCCTTTTTCATAGAAAATATTCGCCAAAATTCCTTTTTTCACAGAAAATATTCGATAAATTCAATTTTTTATGACAAATTTTCGATAGATTTCCTTTTTTTTTTACAAAATATTCGATAAAATTCCTTTTTTTTACAGCAAATATTCGATAAATTTCTTTTTTTATAGACATTTTTCGATAAATTTATTTTTTTATAGAAAAATTTTAGATAAATTTTCCTTTTTATAGACAATTTACGATAAATCTACAAAGAATTTCAATAAATTTTCTTTTTGTAAAGACATTTTGATAAACTTTGTTTTTTATATAAAATATTCGATAAATTTTCTTTTCTATAGAAAATATTTGATAAATTGTCGATATTTTTTTTTCTTATAGAAGTGTTTAGCAATGTAATTTTTGAATTTTTTTTCTTATAGATAAAATTGTTAAATTTTTTTTGCCTAAAATTTTTGATTTTTTGTCTTTTTTGTAGACGATTTTCTTTTTTGTAAAGAATTTTTCAATAATTTAACTTTTTAATGGAAAATTTTCGATTGAGTTTTAGTCTATAGAAAATTTTAGATAAATGGTAATTGAGACCCTTTTTTGTGATGTAGGGGCATAAAAATACACATTAACTTTAGTGGTACTGAACAGGAAGAAAAACAACTACAAACACTAAAGTCATCAACGTCAGCAACTTTAAGTAAATTTTCTAAAGCGTTAATTTTTGTACGTCTGTCTTTCTGTTTGTTTTGTTCCATTGTTGTTAAAAAATAAACTTAACAAAATAATTTAAGGTCTTTTTTATCTTCTCGTGCACTTTAACGAAACAATAATAAAATTGTTTCAGTTAAAATTACTCATGTGTTTTTGTGAAAAAATGGGTTAAAACTTTTAAAACTAAAGTAACCGCAACCAAGAGAAAAAAAAAACGCGAAAAATAAACAACGAAAACAGTTTAAAAATAAGTAACAGAAACTAACTTGTAATAATGTTACTTATTTTACTGTTGTCGTTCTTGTGGTAGTGAATGCGGTGGCTTTTGTTGCTGAAACTGATGCAACTGCAGCCATCACTTGTTAAAATCATGTTTTAGTATAAAAGAGCTTAAAGCGTAAAATAGCGAAGTTGTATATGTTGCTGTTGATTTTTACTGCATTCAAACAAAGAATTTTAAGAATTCAAGTCGTTTTTTCTACTTTTACTTGTGATGAAATGAATTTTGTATTTTAAATAAAGTTCAAGGATATTGTTGAGAGTAGAAGATTATGGTATATCACACATATATTTTCATACACAATAATTTAATAGTTCCTGTTCTCTCAGGAGAAGGTTGAGGGGAAGTAAGCTAGAATTAGCTTTGAACATTTAGATAGTATTCCCTAGATGGTGAGATCATCGAACTTGTTTACGACTTTAAAATCTATTTGGGCTTTATGTTAAGCTTCACGATTTCTATTCCCTTTGAAATTTCTTTTTCATAAGTAAAGGAATCCTTCCACTTTCTTTTATAACTTTTTATAAAAATAATTTCACTTCTAAAGTGATTCAAAGAATACGAAAAATTTTTTTATTAAAAACAAAAACTAGAAG